GAGATGATGGCAGACAAAAACAGCGCCAACCACAAAAAGTGTTGACTGCCCACTGAGGAATTGGTAATTCGCAAGGATAACAAGACCAGCAGGGTTCGGACAGCAGTTAGACACATCGAACGGGGTCAGTCAGCACGGCTAAATTACTTTAAGGCCATTAGATGGCCAGCATTGAGGGACTCCCCTTAGCTTAGGATGATTTCATAATTGCCTTGCATCATGCAAAACCAGAAGAACTAGACTTGAAGGATTCTTTAGTTTATCTTAATATCCCCTCAGGCCAACGACAGTCACATAAATAAAAATATTAGCTTTATTGAACCATCTCGACTATCAATTGTGAAGCGAAAATGTTTACTTTTTATGGGTAACTTCTCAGCAAACACAACATACCCCAGCACTGCCAGCGAAGTGGGCACAGAAATTGAGCTTGAAGAATGCTAAATTTAGCACAGGCAAGCAAAGAAAATGGCCCCCGGTAAATTGCTCATTTATTTGCAGCTGTCAATATCAATAACAAATGGTTGTTCTGCCTCGAACAAACACACATGTGAGTGGGGGAGGGGAAATGGAAAAACCGACACACTCACACGGGTTGCCTTACTAATTTCGGGACCGGAAAATGGGCCACTATCAGCATTTGCCTTTTCCGAGACACTCGCTGGTAACTTTAGCCTTTGGCCGCACTTGACAGGAGCAGTAATAAAATAAATGAGCCGCCATTCTTTTAAATTGAGTTTAATAAACGTCACACTTCATCGACGAGGCTCTTGCCATCCCATATCCCATATCCCATTCGGAGCACAAAAACACAATCTGCAACCCAAAAACACGCTTGACTGACCTACGAGAAGGGAGGCTGCCGATGCCGATGCCGATGCCGATGCCCAAATGAACTATGAAAACGCCGGGACAACATGCATATTTTTTTTTCCATATTTTTTTTTCTATTTTTTGGCACAAAGACCGCACACCCATACACATACTTATTTATTATTCCCCAAGCGTTTGACCAACAACTAACCCCGAACAAAAAGTAGAGGAAGAACGGAGCAGAAGCAACTTTTGGGCAAAGTAGAGGACGAGCCGCATTCAAATGCCGTCTAATTTAGTTGCCTGCTGCATTGTGCGGTCCCTGCTCCTGCCCACAGCTACCACTATATATGGCCATATCCGTATCTATATCTGGCCGAAAGTAGCCCAGCTTTATGACCTCAGCGTTGTGCAACAGCATCGCGCGAATCGCTTACATGAGATTGTAATTACGATAAGCGACCCGGCCAGGAGCTTCGAGATGTTTTTGCCCATAAACAGCCAAATGAGCCAAATAAATGTTATTTATAAAATTCAGGCAAACGTTCAAGGAGCAGGCAGTTCGACCGTCTGATACCCATTAGTTTGCACTCTTAAAATGAAGTCATTCCTTGTAGAAAGTCCAGAACACCCTCATACTGCCAAGTCACAGGGTATTCGAGTCAGAGAAGTGCTGAGCCCGCCAATCGCTCGACTTTTGTGTGGAAGCCAATTGCGATTTATGTTTATATACATATTTATTTTATATAAAATTCATGCGATATCAAATCATGCTCGCATATAGGTAACTAAATATGCCACACACACACACACACTCTCACACACAGACAGACACAGACAGAAGTACATAGACGAATGGCGACCATTCAGGCATTCGACTTTTGGTTTTGGCTTACAGCTTTTGTGGCACGGCGTTATGTAAACATTCAGGACATCGGATCGCTTGCCAGCAATGAGCAGGCATGCCATGCATAGATATATATATAAATTCATATATCTATATAAAAAGAAAGCGGCAGGGGTGTGGCAGGTGGTGGGCGGAGGAGAGGGCAGCCGCGTCTAAGCGATTGAGATATATCTATTAAGCGCCCAGTCCCAGGGACTCAGTATAGAAGTCTTGTTTATGGCCAAAAGCAATCCTACCAGGTTCTCTAAGGGGTCGGAGAGAAGGGGGAACGACGCACCTTGTTCAAAACACATAAATTAGGAGACATTTTAAGCGGGTTCGAGAGGCAAACAGGGAATTTTTATTTATGGTCAAGAAGGAGAAGGGTAAGTAGATGTATCTGTATCATAAGCATAAGCCACATAACATTCGATTTCTTATATAGAAAGTACAGTAAGATCCTGAAGATGCTTACAGAACGCATAAAGGCATGTTAATAGTTAGTTAGTTACCATTTTTGGCACTGTTCCTTCTATCTACTCAGTTTCTATCACCCAAAAAATAGCCCTATTTGCTTTCACTTGACCTCGCCGGGCAGGACACTTGGTCATTTTGATTGGTGGCTAATTAAAATGGCAAATCAAAGGCCGGGCCAAGTAAATGTTGACACAGCACAGGCACAATGGAGTCCTGTTTCGGGGCCCCACAAAGCGTCATTAATAGAGCGTGAATTTTAGCGCAAACACACACAGTCAGTCTCTCCCACACATACACAACAGGGGGGGTTGGGCGTTGTGTGTGCGCATTTATAGCCCGCAATGTTTTGCCAATCAAAACCCCAAAGTCATTTCATTATTGGCTTTGCGTAATCGACGTCAAAGCGTCCCCAACCGAAAGTCAACAGCGGAGAAAAGGAGACCCAATCCGCGAGGAGTGCCAGTCCGCGGAGCGTGGGTAGCCGAGGGGCACCACCAGTGCCTGCAGCCTGTGGATGGTGGAACGGTGGAACGTGCATGCAGTCAAGCGAATTGAAGGCAAATATTTTTACTTTGACACGGCGACCCGAAAGGGATTCGGGAGGGATACTGCTCCAGCCAGCTACTGCTTCTGTGCCTTCTCCTCGAATCCCCGATCCCGGCAACTCGACTTTATTGTCAAAAAGTGTAAATGACACAGTTCGTTAAACGCGACATCGAGACGCTAGATACAAAGATATATAGATGGCCTGCGACAGATGGCGGACGGGGGATTTTCCGGGACAGATCCGTGGATTATGCACGCTGGGGCGTGGCCCAGAATCCCAGAAGGCCGAAAAAGGATTGCAGGCAAACATTAATGGAGGCCATATAGGCCCATACGTCACAGCCTCCAGCAGATTTTTGTCAAGAATGTATGACAAATATTTTATGCGCCCATCATAAAGGAACCGCAAAAGGGGCTCCGAAAGCGGATAACTGCAGCCAAGTGGAAGGCAGGAGATGGCGAGTATCTTTCAGATAGCCGGATACAAATCGCAGGACCCAAAGCAGCACAAACAACAAAGCACAGCAGAGGGCTGGGCAAAGGCAGGAGCATAAAAGCCAACAACGAAGGCACTAAATAACACAAAAAAGGACTAATGCACAGGGAGAAATTACTCTAAAGATGAAGGTATACAAATATTTCTAAAATGCTGCTATTTTCTAGATGATTATAAGGCATTGTTAAGCCTTAAAAATGAATTAAAAGATTATTATCGAAACTTATTCAAATAAAATTCTGAATTAAGAAAGTTTAGCTAAATGAAACTTTGTTAAATTTATTATTTCTCGGCGTGCAGAATAAACCTTTGAAGTTGCTGGGGAACCCCGAAAAGGAGTGTGCGGAAAATAAGAAAAATAAGGATGGCAAGTAATGGCGGAGAGCGGAAGATAACAACAGAAACGGAGGGCGAACGAAGGTGCAAATAATGCCAGGCCCCGAAAAGTGTGCTACACATGTTGACATTGCCCGTGCGAGTTGGTTTATGTGTGTTGACGTGAGAATTTGCACGTCCTTTGTTATGCACGCGTGTAAATGTTTCGCCGAATTCAGATTCTGTTTCTGATTCCATTTTCCGAACCGAACGAAGGAATTGTAAAACTAAACAAACTTCGCCAGCGAGCAAATGTTTTATTTGTCCGCCGCACACAAGCAAACAGCCACACAGACGCAGGCACACACACACACACACACGCGCGAAGATGTCAGGGAGATACCCACAAATGCACTGCGATTTGTGCTCCAAATTCGTTTCGATGCTAAAGGGTTTCCCCGCCTTTCCCCTGCCCAGTGTGCACACAAACTTTGCGGCCTCCTTTAGTTGTTATAATATAACGAAAAACGAGAAGCGAAAAAGGGATATATACATATATACAAACAGGACGAGGCGAGTGTGTGTTTGAGGTCGAGTTGATTGCTTAAGTAAACGCACTCGGGGCAGGCAAAAACGCTTCTTGGCCAAGTTGATTCGCCGAACTTTGCTGGCTGGGAAATTGCTCGCTGGCTTTCCTTCTTTTTTCTCCGCTTGGGTCAATTTCGGGGGCCCAGTGATTTTTGCTTATTTTTATTAATAGACTTTTGGAAAATGCCAAACAATATTTTCGGCCGTCGGAAGTGTGCACTTCAAATTATGCTACATGCTGGAAAAAAACCCCTTTTGCAGGACCCTCGGCTGGCGGCTGTTTGGAAAGGATACGTTCTACGTTCGCTGGCAAGGATGCCTAATCCGCAAATGGATGTTTTGGCAGGGCCAGCGGAATGGGGAGTTCACAACTTTTTATTCCCGCTGATTGCTGATTGAAAACCGAAGGGCGGCCGACGTTCGGGTTCATTTTTGGTCCGGAGTGATGGTCCTGGGAAGTGAGTAATTAATTCTTGTGTTTGGCTTTCGGTGGGCGGTTAAAATGAGGTCTATATATCTTTCTATAAAATAACTCGTAATCGGGCTGCTTTACACTTTGAATAACTCATTAGAAAGCCCAAGGAAGAGTCATAGGTACTAGCTTTTCGATTAGCTTTTCCTTTCTTTGTGATTATTTGTTATTTATACAGATTTCCCTCTGGGTAGATACTCATTCGATTAATCAACTTAAATATAAGAATTATACTAAATAAATCAAAATTATATGTTAAGGAACTAAGTTTATTCATCTAAAACATTATTACCTCCCTTTGAAGCCACAACTCAGCTGCACTGCAACTGCAAAGCGGAAAATGCCAGCTCGGTTTTCCTCTCCGTTTTCCCCCAATCTTAATATAAACAGACAGTCGGTTGACTCACCTTTTTCCCAGGCAGCGGAGACTCCTTCTCGGTTTCGCTCGCTCAATTCGGCAGCCAATTGGGCACACACATCAATCAAGTACTTCAACAAGTTTTTCTCTATTTTGTTTGGTCTCTGGCTTGGTTTAGTTTGGATTAGTTCAGTTCAGTTCGGCTTAGTTCAGTTTAGTTTTGGTTTGGTTTAGAACGAGCTGCAGTTGGCATAGTTATGGTTAAGGAATTTATTGATATTATTGCGGCTCACACACGCGAGCAGTCGAGTGACATTCGGCACACTGCCAGCCAATTAATGGGTTAACTTTCGAGCTGGAATTGACATAATGCAGGAATGCAGGAATTCAGGAATTCGCAAGTGAATAGGCCAGAGGAATGTTCAAGGCAGGACGAAGGATAATGGATATGTGGCAAGTTTCGCTACGGGACTTTCGGGCATGTCTGAGTGAGCATTTAAGGCCGAGACGACAGAAGAATGTCAGAAGGTTATGGTGTTAATGTCGCTTTTATTTAAAACGGATATCGGACAAAGAACAAAGGCGGGCCGAGCAATAAAAAATAAATTAAATGGAAAATGCACAGAGTCCTGCGGAAGGTGCGGAGAGCGAGAGCGAGAGCGGAGGCGCGAATGTGTCACGGATTTCATTGCTCATTGAATACGCATTCATTCCACAAAGGAAAAAGGAGCACAGGACCTGCCAGCCATTCAGGCAGCCGCCTCAATCGAGTCACTCAGTCTGCGTACGTAAGCAGCGAAGGACATTCACACAGATACCAGCACACACACACAGGACTCAGAGAGCCACACACACACAGCAACGAAGCAACACCAACACAGAGGAGAGTAAGCCACAGAGCCCGCAGAGAAAATCAAAACTACGCGCACACACTGGCCAAATTTCTGTTCTGACAAATTTCCATGTGTATGTGCGCGTTCTGTTGTAATTTGCCATTTTGGCAATTGCAATCCTTCGCATTTTATTGAATTTTACAAACACAAAGCAGCCACACACACATACACACACGCACACGTTCAAAGCACACCACACACTCAAACAATAACAACACTTTTCGTCATAATATTTTCTTATTATCCTGCCTGCCGTTGGCTTGCTTTATTTTCCAGTTTTATTTTAGTTTTTTGCGGCCAAACGTGTGCGTTTTGTTTTCGTATTTTATTTTAGTTCGAGTTTGTGGTATTTTCCTCCCCAAAAGGAAAGCGGAATTTTCATACGCGTTCGAGTGGAGTGTGCTTGAATCGCAGGAGTCGCTGCTGCTTGCGGAACCGCCCTAAAACAGTCGGGAGAAAAACTGAAAATGAAAATTGCTGAAAAATTCACCCAAGGCAAGCAGCAGTGGCAGCGGGAAAACGGAAAAGCTTTTCCGCGCTCCCCAAAAGTACCAGTATTTCGCAGAGAGCATGAGGAAAGCTCAATCAATAAGTCGAGCTGCTCTCTTTGGCAGGACATCCCTCAGAACCACCCAGCCACCCACCCAGTCACCACCCCCTGGGGCCATAGCACATGCTGGCTCTTAAGCGAAAGGTTTTCCGTGTGCTTTTCCCTTTTTCCAAACGACTTAACAACTGGCCGCTGCACTACAGAAATCACTCTCTCTATTTACCGAAAAAGTCACGTAAACGCGAACCGTTGACCGAAACCGTTAACCGTTAACCGTTCTCGGACGGAGACTCTGTGTGAGACTTTTCCTCCACTTTGCACTGGGGCTCTCGGGTTCTCGGCTCTTGATTTTCCGGACTTGCGATCCACACGTCTGACTGCCAGAATGGCCACAACATGAATGTCAGGTGTGCGATTCCGGCTGAGTTTCTCGGTCTCAGGACTTGGAGTCTGGACTCGGAGAAAAAGTCCCGATAACCGTTATTTAGACGGACAGTGGGAGCTGCCAACTTACCGCAGAGTCGCTTTTCGATAGCTGCCAGGAGCTGCGATAGCCCAGAGTTGCACGAAATGGACTTTTGCTATCGGCGTAAGCTCAGGAAGCTTTCAAGGCCTCTTTACGCACTTTCAAATGTTTTGAATTTATTTATTATTAGGTACTAAAAACCGACTCTTTCGTGGTTTTGTGTTCTAGAAATGTTAAAAATCAGTTTAGGGAAGAGAAAACTGATATTGGAATGATATCCGAATGAAAATCGTTACCAACCCGGATGATGTGATCCGCGATTGTGACCTTCTCCCTCCATTTCCTCTGCAGGATCTTGAAATGTAGCAACTGCATAATAACAATTTGCATACTGAATAACCACTTGGGCAGCCAGTTGCTAGAGGGCTGCCAGTGATGTTGGTAATCAAATGGATTACTCGAGTGGCCAAGCCCTTGAAATCTGGCAATCGGGCTCATCAATCTGTCAACTCCTTGGAGGAATGCTATTAGAACACATGGCCACTTGGCAAGGACAAAGGACCTGCATAAGGTGGTCTCAAACGAAGTTCCGAACAGCCTCTCAAGGTGCAAATTAGCAGAGCAGCAGGATAAGAGGGCCCAGAGGTTCCGTGGAAGGTATTAAGATCCGGTGAGCAGCTGCCTTCGACCCGCAGAAACTGAAACTTGTTGGACCTCCAGCCACCTTATGCGGGCACCACTGTGCAGGAATGCCCCGTGCCAAGGTGCAAACTGCAACTTGGCCCCGTATCGGTTTTCGAGATCATTTTATTAGCAGAAGAATATTGCTTGTTTGGTTTATGTTTTGGGCACAGATGTTGCTGACTTACGGGCTGCTGCATCTCTCCCCTAAAAAGCATTAAAAAACAACGAGAGGGTAGTTTTTGCGGGCATGATTTTACAGAATTATGGGTGCGAGGGGAAGGACATCTCCTTAAATGCTATACGGCTCTTTTGACGCTTTAAATTGATTCACACCGCGCACGCAACTGCCACCCCCGCACCCGTTGATCCGAGTGCTGCTGCACCCTCGCATCCCGGCATATCCTTGAGTATCCTGGCATATCCTGTTCGGCTCTTTTCCGTGCTGTCATGCATTTGTATTTGATTAAACATTTTTTACGCGTTTCCGTTCCGAGGGCATCATTAGTTTGGCCCGTTTAGGGTTTCACTCTGGTCCAGAGACTGGGCTCTGACACACCCTAGGGTTCCACCCCATCATCAAGTTTCCTCGCCCTTTTCCCAGTTCCCAACTGCATCTGTCCGATTCCGGAGTCCACTTCCGCTTTTCCGCCTTGCTAGTAAATGTGTTTTGGTATTTGTTTTAGTCGGTCCCAGATCGATGGACCATGTCAAGGGCCCTAATGGCCTTTCATTGCCGAGCTGCAGCGTTATTTGGGCATGATTATGAGGAATCACCCAAGAAGCACTCATCACTATTGTTTGCCACACATGCAACCCCCACTCGGGTGATATACGAGCAACTCGCCACAATTATAAACCATTCATTGGGGGTTTGTTTTCCCTGACAACCCAAAGAACAAGAGGTTTCCAGCTTTTCAGTTTTTCGTTTTTATTCAAGGACTTTTATAGTTTACAATTTTTATGGGCTTTCCAGGGTTATGTTTTGTATAAAAATATTCGATTGTTAGAAAAATATGTTTATGGCTAAAGTTTTCTTTTTGTAGCTGTAAAAATAGCCGTGTAAATTACGTATAAAAATATTTGGTACAAAGATCTGTCTTCCTTTAGCTTATTGTTAATGCACGATCGAGCACAACGATTCTCTTGTTATAACCCTAAGCTTAGTATATAGTATCACAAAGTGTCAACCGATATGGTTACGTATGATATAGCTTATATAGCTTATGGTGAATTAATTCCTAGATTGAGCGAAAGTTTCCCTTTTCGTTGTACTCTGCGGTTACAACCAATTTACAAATACAAATACAGATGCTAAGGAACAATAGCGCTGTGATAATGCCCCGATTTGGGTCTTGATTACGTTATTGCTTTAAGTACACAACCGCCGGTTCTGGAGCCTGGGGCCATTATAGCTAGGTTGTACTGTTAAATACTTTGACTGGTAGTGAGACGCTGGTCCAATGTCCGTTTCTATGCCTAACTAAACTAACTAACTCGTAAACTAAACTGAGAACTGATCGATTCCCCATCTTAGGTGGCTAACATGACTAGAGCTCACACTCGACTTTGGTTCACCAACACTGGGTTTGGATTTTCGTTTAAACTAGGGTTTGGTTTTGCTTTTTGGTTTGGTTCGAACTTAAGAACTATTACTGCACAATTTTGCCTGAATTTGGTTTCGGTATATAACCTGAATGTGACTAAAGCTGTATCCGAAATTGAAGAATGATATATGTTTGTACAAACTTAGTAAGACCGAAATGAAGCTGACTTATATAAGGTGTTTACCTAGAGTGACTAGAAGGAATGCAAGAACTTGTGACTAGAATGACACGCAGAATGTGGAGAAAGGGTTGGGATTATCAGGAGGATGACTTGGGGAAAAGATGAAGATTGATGTAGGAATTCAGGTATATGATGGGAAAGGGCAGAGATGATCTGAAAGATGAGGATGAGAATGAGTCATGAAGAATTAATTATGAAAGTAGGAAGTTTGGGAAGCTTGCAGATGATTTGAGAACAGGAAAGATGAGAGACGAATGAGTGGTGTTAGACAGGGAAAATGGTTAGTAAGAAGAAAAGTGTTAGTAGAAAGGTATTCGGGATGATGCTTGACTGAATGATTTGGTTAGTAAAAAGTATTTCTTTGGCTTTCATGTTAAGTTCATTGCACTCCCAACAAATAACCTAAGCTAAAACTAAAGACTAGTAAATTAGTTTCGAGATCGCATTGAAGCTGACTAGTGCCAAGATGCTTTGGTTTCACTGACTAGAACTAAGGAGCCTTTGGAATGGGGGCCGAAGTATGGATACAAATTAGAGTCTGACTAGAATTGAACTCATCTTGCGAACGAAAGTAAATCGAATTAAGAGCTAAACTAAGAGCTAACTTAGGGTTCGAAAGGGAAACTGAAATTTCCGGTGAATAAAACTAGTTCTTTGGTCTGCTTCAGCTGCATGAGTTGGGGCTTTCAACTAGTAACTAAACTTAACATTAAAACTTAATCTCACTCGATTTCAATGGGCCATGGTGGTGTGTTGGATGACGGAGGCGCAGTTCCTCAAGTTAGTCAGAGCCGCCGCAGCAATACTTTCCTCCTCCGTAAGACCATGTTCCACGATTTGCAGGCGGCCATAGCCCGCTGAGGAAGCGGAGGAGCTGGAGTCCGAGAGGTAGTCGTTGTCGTAGTCGCAGTTACTCCTGGCATTGGCCCCCACCACGTAAACACCCTCATCGGAGTGGGAACTGCTGGCCGAGGAGGAAGTCGAAGCACTCGAGGATCCAGCCTGATTGAAGTGGAAACTTCCGGTTATGGTTGTGGTAGCAGAAGCCTTCAATTCCACAGCTTTTCCCGACGGCTTTTCCTTTTTCTGATGCGTCAGTTGATGTTTCCGCAGGTAGGCAGCCCTCTTGAACTTCTTCCCACACTCCAGGCAATCGAATAGCAGCTCCTCCACTGATCTCTTCTCCACTTGTGGCTGCGGCTGCTGTTGCTGCTGTTGGTTGATGGTATTGCGGTTCTCCTTCTTGGCCGCCTCCTTTCTGGGCTTGTGCCACCTGCGATGGGAGGCCAAGTTGGCAGGGCAGTTGAACTGCTTGCCGCACTCGGGGCACCGGTATTCCAGCAGGACGATGCAGGCGCACCTGTGCCGGGCCAAGCCAAAGGCATCCTCGAACTTGATCTTGCACAAACGGCACACATAATCCCCAATCACATTCTTGATGGCAGCTAGTTCCGCCTTGGTTTCCTCTGTGATCTCGACTATATTGTACTTGGGGTCTATGTCACCATTGCTGTACTGCATCGAGCCATCGGTGATGTCCTCCAACGGTCGGATAATCGTTCCCGACACAGGCGAACTGGTCTCTTCATCGAACTTCAGCTTCCGGGTGGCCTTATTGCGAGATGGCTTCCCCGAGGAAGTGGAGGCCTTGCTGGTTTTGGGCGCCGATTCCGTCACTTTAATGGGTTTCGCTGGTGTGGCTTCGATTGTATCCAAGTGCTCCTCCTCCTTTTTGGACATTTTAGCCCGCTGTCCATCCTCGTCGCAGCTTTCCCGACTCAATTTGCGCTTCCCTGCCGGACTCTGCGGCGGCGTTGGGGGTTTCACCTGCTGCTCCTCCGCTTTCGGAGCCGCTGCAACTGGAACAGCCACCTCGGCAACGCCTCCCACATTTTCGCTGTAGACCTCCGTGAATGTGGCCGCCATGGGCACATCGCTGGTGGGCAGTGGGGAGGGCAGCTTCAGCGTTAGGTCCAGCGGTGTTTCACACCTGGTTTTCAGGTTCAGGTAACGGCTGCGGTACTTGGGAGGCAGCGAGGCCACCGTGGTCAGCAAGCCCAGGCCATGGGGCATCCCCTTGTGCTGCAGCTGGATGCCAATGCTGTGCGGGTGGCTGAGCTTTTCGGTTTCCGAGTGGGTTGGTGGCGGCGTCGGTGTCTGTGTCTGTATCTGGGCCATGGCATCGATGGGGTTTTTAAACTAAAAACTTGAACTTGGGCAACAGAAAACTTTGAACGTGGAACGTAGAACGGGGAACGTAGAACGTAGAACGGAGAACGTAGAACGGGAACTAAGCAAACTTAACAACAAACTGATAACGCTGATCCTTGCGGACTGGACTCTAAGTAGTAGACCTCCAGTCGGCTCGACGTTTGTGCTGCGAATGACGTTCAGTGGTCTCGGCGGCGGCTATTTATGTGTGCCACGGGCCAAAGGAAAGCGAAACCGAAACTCGAAATCATTGTTTGTGCCGGCGTCCTGGAAATTCATTTCAACCCCCTTTTCAGTCGAAGTCGTTGTCCTTTTTCGACGCCGGCAGAGCCGCAAAAGCCGGAATCTTTTGTTAGCAATCACACACACATTAGTCACCCTTTTTTCCAACACACATACACACACACACACACCCTTACACATACGCAGTGAAAGTCCTACGCACACACACACTCTGACATTTTGCAGGGAGGACAATGCACTCGGAGAAATCAATGTGCGACAGCTGTTGTTTTGGGCCCAGAAAATGCCACGCACCAAATTGGCAGCACCTTCCTTCGCAGATATTTGCTTTTATATTCCGCAGAAATCGGAGCTGAGCATTGTGTTCAGTTTTGGCCAAACAGCTGACAGCCATGAAGTCGTTAATTGAGCATGTAACCATAAGGTCAGCCCAAAGAAGGATTCCTGAATGGGTCTGAGGGTATCCTACCGCTTAAAGGTGAATTGTTGTTTCTTTGTTGCCATTTGCTGCAAAACAGCTGTTGGCGATGCCAAGATGGTTATTAGAAGTAAACAATGTGACAAGTAAGAACTTTATGGTTACACTTATACTGCCCTTATAGAAGGTAAGGCATAGGGTAAGCATCTGTAAGGAGAACGATTTACGACCTCAAATAGTTTAAATTCCCTTTAAACTTTCTTGCTGTGTACTTTGCGGCACTGCATTTATCAGCCTCAGACGACTAAGCTCGTCAAGTCTGCTTTTGGTGGGGTAGGTAGCAGACTATCAGACTAGCAGACAGAACTTGGTTCGAACTTCGAACTTCACCACCGCGAAGCACGGCGCACAATCGTCCGTGTCCTTGTATCAGTGTCTGCGTTTCTGGGGATGTGTCTGTGTGTCAGTATCCTGGACACACATCCCTGTGAGTGTGTTGGTGCCAAGCGAGTGCTTTGCATTAATGTAATCGAAATGCGAAGCCGACTGAGCCGACAGTGGTTGCCATGAAAGGAATGCACTTTCGATTCCCGTCGAGGGCTTTCGTCGCAGGATTCGCAGGACTCGTGGAAATATGGCATATTATGTTGAACACGCCGCCATTGTTGTTGTTCTTGTATTACGGTAGGCACGTGCATGGCAACGATGCCACCCCAAAGCGGGCTGACAAAGGCAGCACTGCGAGAAAAAGGGCCTTCATTCGGTTAAATAAAGTGAATGTTTGAGTAACTCATTCAAAGTAGGAAATCTACTCAAAGTTGATAAAAAGTCAGAGATTCTTTATACTATTTTCTCCCAGTGCACAGTTGAAAGTGCAGAGAGTATTCCCAAGCGATCCAGTCGCAGCAGGGTGGCCTTTCGGCAGGGGAATCGATGTTTGCCATGCAGCTTAGAATTAAAATAGCACACGCATCCGAGGCCAAATCCCAGCACAAACTTCAGGCCGAATGAATCGAGGAAGCAACAAAAGTCTCAGAAGTGCGCCAGCCACGCGAGCATTGTCCTGAAGGTCCCTTGCCCTCCCTGCCATCCTGAGAGTCCTAGAAGGCAACGCAGATACACTGTCTCAGCTCTGAAGCTGCAAATTCCAACCCTGCCGGGTGGCTAGAGTCCTCCCCTCCTGCGTTGCTTTGCCAACTTATCCTTGTCACTCACAAATGCTGCCTCGTTTGCGATTCGATAAAGTGAGAGAAAAGGAAGCGAGAAATCAAGCCATCAATGGATTGAAGGTTGATTAATCTGAGACAAGCCTATTCAAACGGATTAGAGCGTATTGGTCAGAGGTTTCTCCACGGCTATCATCATCCATCAGTTCGCAGTGCACTCTAACTATTTCCTATGAATATGATCTCTGCTCTTGCGAACAATAGCGAGCTCTCTGTCTATCTAATCTTTAAGTTCGGAGTCCTCTCTAATAGGAATATATCATATTACAGCAAGAAGGAAACAGTCTTACCGCTCTATAAGGGTAACGGATAAGATATTGTAGTTTGGCCAAAAGTCGACTTAAAAGCGAAAGGAAGACTGATTTTTACAGCTGAAGAACTAAACTAACGATCCTCAAGACTTTTTGGCTGATTTTAAAAAATACATTTCTGAAAATTGTTTTATACTGATTTTTTGGTCGAAAAAACGGGACGGACCGTAAAATTTTATAAAAAATCTCAAAAAATATACTTTTTGATCTTGGTATGCAGTTCGACGGGGAATCAAATTACGAACTCAACGATGTACGACACTCCTTATTCTGACATTTTTTGGCGTTGTGGTCGGGAATACCCTGATATATTAAACATAAAATTAAGATTATTACTTTTTAGTAAATTTTGCGATATTTTTACTAGTATTGAGCTTATATCTCTGTCAAATTAAGACGCACAGCTAAAAGGAGGATTGTTTTGACCAGCTAACGACCCAAGCAAACGTTCTATGTGGCTGTGGCGATGATTTTCGGAAATTAAAATATTTGTGAAATTTCACTTTTTTGTAAGGGGTACCATCAGCTTTTTTTCCAAAAATTGAAAAAATATTTTTTTTCTCACATTTTAATGGGACTTGGATATTTTGAAAATAGATTGAAAAACAAGCCTAACGACATATGGCATTCCATATTCCGACCATTATTGGCATTGTAATAAAGAAAATACTGATATGGCGTGCCTCAATTCGGGACAGACCATTTTTACGTTTTTTGAAAATCATAAAAATTTGCGAAAAATCTCAAAAAAATCACTTTTTGAGTGCGGTACACAGTTCGACGGGGAATTTGAATACGAACTCAACGAGGTATAACATTCCATGTTACGATCATTTTTGGCTTTGTAATGAGGAAGATACTGATATTTTGGGCTGAAAATCAAAACTATGGCTTTTTACTAAAATTCGCGATATTTTCCCCAGTGTTATGCTTATAACTTTGTCAAAAGAAGTCGCAGAACCAAAAGAAAGACTGTTTTGTGCAGCTAACGACCCAAACAAACTTTCTGTATCATTTTGGTGACGGTTTTCGAAAGTTTATTTTTTCTGAAATTTCGCATTTTTTGTAAGGGGTACCATCATCATTTTTTCGAAAAATTGGAAAAATATTTTTTTCTTCAGATTTGAATGGTACTTGGATATTTTGAAAATATATTCAAATACAAGCCGCACGACATATGGCATTCCATTTTCCGACCATTTTTGGCTATTTTATAGACAAAATACTGATATTTCTAGCCTCAAATCGGGTCAAACCGGTTTTCGCATTTTTTGAACATCATAAAAATTTACAAAAAATCTCAAAAAATCACTTTTTGAGTGTGGTACACAGTTTGACGGGGAATTTGAACACGAACTCAATGAGGTATACCTTTCCATGTTACGATAATTTTTGGCTCTGTAATGAGGAAAATACGGATATATGCCGACCACTTCTGGGGCTTTGGCATACAAAATGAAGCCGAAAGCCTAAATCACATACTCAAAGCATTTCGTATTTCTCTGCGTGTAGTAGCCTTAATCTTCATCGACTGCTCTGATTTCTGCCCTCCAAGGCGTTCTTGGCACAAATTTGCACTCGAAAAACACCAACGACAGCCCGGGGAGAAGAGCCCCGACCACCTGGACTTTTGTATATATCTGCATGCCCGTGCCCCACCCCAAAAATCACCCACATAACCCCCGCACGCATTTTGTTTGTTGTTTGTTCCATTGCTAACCCTTAAGTGCATCTTTTTATGGTAATTTCAAGTGCAGGGCCCCACCTCGGATCTGTCTGAATGTCCTGGCTGGCATCCTTTGCCTCGGGCGGCTCCTTGGCAATAATTAATGTTCGAAAATGCATCGTTTATGCGGCATAATGCATTTTCATTTCCATTCTCCTTTTCATCTGGCTGTGGACTGTGTGTGTCTCAAAAGGCTTTTCAGGCTTTCCAGCAAGCCGCGTGCACTCTTGCTTGGGCAAATCCTCAAGGATCCACTCCACTTGTAGCACATGTTGCCCATTGTGGAGATGAGGCTGCCTTTTTGGGGGTTCGCTCTGTGTCCTGTCAATCCTCTCGCCACTTCCACTGCCACTGAGCTGTAATTAAATTTTTCGCTTTCATAATTTCATGCAATTTCTGCTGCTCGAACAGGAAACTGATTTGGTTTCCAGGGCGCGAATGCTTTTTAATTGCATTTGGCTTCCTTGCAGCAGAAGGGGTCGATAAATCTGCTACCAATTTGCATTACTCTATTGGGCATTAAACTTGAAAGCCCCAAATTCGCTGTATCTCCGGGAGATTCAGATGCCAATAAGCCAATCACAGCATGTGCGACTTAATAAATATTCAGCCCAAAGAGCTTAGGGTATTTGGACAAGCTAATCCTCATTGAAAAGAGCGGAAAACTGAAGGAAAACACAGCTCTCCCCCAAAAAGGCTGGAAGCGAAAGAAAAGGAAGTCCTGCCATAATCATAATAACAGTCCTCCCGTCGTGAGTCATGCTCGAATTTAAATAAAAACAATTATAATTTTTAGCTGCCATAATCATATGCAATTTGCAATTGCAGCCTCGGGTCTTTAGGGGTGTGAATATTTTTAATTGCATTTCGGATGAGTGATGACGGGGTGTCACAAGAGTTTACCTCACATAAACTGCATCTGAAACTGAAAGTCTTGCAAGCCAATGGCAGCAATAGCTTTCCTCTAAGCTTAAGGAATTTGCTCGCAAATCCCACTAACAGAAAAACAAAACTCCCCGAAAAATTGCGAGTGACTAACCCCGGGAGAACCCGGCATAAATATGGTCGAACTCGTATTCCTACAGTTGTGCAGCATTCATAAGGACGCCGCAGGACGCCAAAACTCAAAGGGCCAGAGCGAGATAGAGAAACGGGAATTTCTAGAGGGGGATCGAAATCGAGGAAAACAACAAAAAACAATCACAATTCACAATTCTGTCGGGTGTCGAAGTGCTCCGGGCACGCGACCGTCGACCAACGTTCATTTGCCGCTGCCCTGCCGAGGATTGTAAACTGCGAATTGGTCCGGTGCACATACGTCAGTATATACGGTGGCATGTGCGACAGGGAAATCACAATGCAACCACCACAGTCAGCAATCCGAGGCCGAGTTCCTAGTTCCCTCCCCGAAAGTCGAACCACTGGCAATCGAGGCCCAAAATTTAGCCAGGTGCATTTTCAAACACCAAAACACAACACACGAGCCAAATAGCAGCACCACTATCGCAAATGTGGCAAGGCGAGACAGTGAGCACTGGCTATGGGAGACGAAGAAAACAATTTGTTCTTACATCTTTCATGACTCTGAGTTCTGACTGAGTTTGGAACCCTTAAATTTCACCTAAAAGGAAAAGAAAGATGGGTCTAACATAAATTATAATCAAGTAAGTTCTATATAGCCTAGTCCATCAAGCGATTGCCTACTGTAAGCGGCATAAAGCAGAGCTCAAGCGTGGTGCGATTTCGATACCGCTCAAGTCTGAGGCTGTTGCTGATTCGGAATAGGGTTTTTTAAAACGCTGCGCCCTTAGGGGTGGCAAAATGCACCCAGAGTGGAAGGAGGGCTGCTCCGCTGGCATATCCGCATGTCAGTCACAGTGCATGAATGTCTAGGGAGGGTTTAGGTTTAGGTTTACAGCGGCGGCGAATATAAAATATTTCATTTTTACCCCTTGGCTCGCTTATCAGACTATGCATATAAAATTCCAATTGGACGCGTTCACCGCAAAAGGACGCGGAAAACGGGGGGTGGGGTTGAGTTCTCCCCTCGCGTTTTACGCCTAAGCCTGCCAAGATCCTGTGCAGGATTCCCCTTCAAGCTGATGCTGCACTGAGGGAAAAGGTAAGCAGCTATGTTTGATCAAAAAATGAAACGCAGGCATGAAGCTAGCCAAGCTACCAGGATTTTCTCGCAGTGCCTTCTGCTGCTGTGTGAAAATTGCACGACTTGCGCTTCTGCTTTTGACAATGGCCTCACATTAACTAGTTTCCGCTGCACTCGCAGTCGCAATCCCAGAACCCAATGCCAGTTCCACTTTTAATGAGTAACTGAGCGAAATGGGAACTTCATTACAAAAGCACCCCATTCGCAGGACCCCTTCCACATGCCCGCGACGCTTCCTGTTTGGTTTGTTTCAATTAAATCGCATGTGCGGCCCACGAACAGGCGCAGGACACCAAGGCTGGCATTAAAACAGAGCCACAAGCACAGGACACATTGCAGGACACATGGCTCATCTGTTACTTAATCATGGCATTGCCATGGATACGCGTACCTTGAATTGCGAGGGTGCCGTAGTTCAGCCCGACCTTTGAGCAGCCAGCAAGGATATTTATTGTTATTGCCCTGGGGGAGAACGAGATTTCTCTGTGGCTGGTTGGAGAGCAGGAACTTAAAGTCCTGGTGAGATTCTGATTTGGTGGTATTTCTCTTCAGGTCTTCAGTCTGCCATTCATGTGGAAATGCCTTCAAGATTGATTTATAGTTGCTTATGACAGAATCACTTTCGTAGCCAGAATGAGTCATTGAATGTTCTTTCGCATGTATTTTAAATCGATAAAAGGTTAAAAGTAAGTATAAGACCAGAGTTTTCGCACTTTTCAAACTTAATTTGATCTGTTAATACATTCCTTTGTAACAGAAAGTAAGCAAGTATCATAGTTGGTAATACTTTAAGGGTAAAGAGGATATTATCTTAGAGCCTTTACCGTGAAACATCTCTAGTACCACAGGTAATTCGAGTAATCAGGGCTGGAATAGGTGCTGTTGCTCCAGCCGAATTGATACCGTATAAGGTTGTCCAAGCCACCCACATCCACGCCCAGTCGATTGAGCTGAGCAGTGACGGCCTGGCCTGAAGGAGTGGCCAGGATCCGTTCGTAAACTGGGAGCAAGGCCACCAGACGACGCCAGAGTTCCGAAAGAAGAGGGCTAGTTTGGATGGCACTTGGTTCCAGGAGTGATCGAATGACTTCCACTGGATAAATTTGGGCAAACTCTGTCTCGAATCCCCGGATTCCATTGACGACCTGCGACCAGAAAGGATACTTATTGATGATCTTGATCTCCAGTTCCAGGTACTCGAAGATCTTGGAGGAGCCACCGGACAAGATCAGCTGTTGGGCAATCCATAGTTGCAGTTGTCGAACTTCGGGTTGGCTGACTATTTGCCGGTAGAATTGATACGCGGGTATAGAGTTGATGGTCCGAATCAGACCCTGGAATTCGACGTCGTTCAGAAGGTATTTCTGTACTAGTTTCTCGATGCTGCCGACGGGTATCTGTCGGATTACACCTTTGAGCTCCAAGGCAAAGTTGCTTTGAGGAGCAAGGGTTCCATTCACACTCTGCTTATATTGGATAGGAGCCAATAAAGCCGGCGTGGCAGCTGGAAAAGCCACCAAACAATGCAAGGCCAAGAAAACACAAGCGATGAACCGCATCCTGATCTGCTTTCCCTACTAGAACTGATGCAGAAGGCCAATCCACTGGCTGCTTTTATAGCAAAGTGCGATCTCTGTTATCTGGCTTTGTGTTTGTGGTTTAGCTGCCACAGTGGACACTCTTATCGGAGACAGTTTGCTTTACAATAACTGACGTGGTTCACCCAGGTGGAGAAGGCGAAGATCTGTGTACCGCCAAATGCCAAGATAAAGGGAGTCTATTTACAACCCTTAGTCACTTGCCTGCTAAGCAGTGGCTTCTTCTTAAAAAGTCTATCAATGGGTTCTGAGAATTATATTTAGATATGTTATTATACCAAAACACAGAACAGTTTTCAGATTACAAAATGAAACCATCAATCAGATCGATTAACATTTATTGCTCTTTACTTTAAAGGGAAGTATATAAGTTTAGGAACATAGAGGAAGCATAGAGATTCATTCATTCTCCTGAAACCACCAACACCAAATGACTTGGAATTGCGTGTAAGATCATCATATATTTAGAGATTTAATAAGGCGGTGATTCTCGTACACGTACCTGAGATAAGAGAGTGAAAAAACAAACAGCAAACAAGTTATTCTAACTATTCACGGCAGACGACTTCTCAGTGATTAATCGCTTTAGTCTCACCTGGCGAAATTCGGTCAAGTTAAAAAGCACATTTGACTGTTATAAAAAAGCGGAAAGTGACAGTGAAGATAAGGAATAACCAATTTTACAATGGGAAATCCGTATGCAAATATCATAAAAACAAATCGTTTTAAAAAGTAATAACTAAAACACTGGAAATCCTCTTTATGTGAGGTTGGAACATTATTCGGAGCATAACAAAGGATGTCATTCAGCCGATCTTAATCTTCTCTGATTGAATAAAATGGCAACAATGGAACAATGAAATCTATATAAACTGATGAATGCATCAAAGCCAAATGGTCTTAATAATCTCCGAATGCAATCTCCGACAGAACTTTTCAAGGACACCCTCTGGTCAAGTGCAGTCCCTGGGACTTTAGAGGAAACTAAACAGCCTGGGCATGTAAATGGACAGATGTTTGTGGGTAATTAGTTAGTTAGTTGCCTTCACCCGATCGCATATCCGGTCCAGGCGACATTAGTTCCACTCGAGGAGAGCCCTACTGGAATGTTACATGCATGGTAATTAGGATTGGCCAGGACACACCTCCTCTTCGATTCGAGCAGGAAACCCTGACAGATTTGCTGTGTAATTTCGAAATTACCAAACTTTTGAGAGAGTCTGTAGAACTGGAGAATCCAGAGAGATGCAGGGCGAAGCCTCCCCCAGAGCCAGAGAGCTGGGAGGTTAGGGAGATTTAGGGTGATTTCGGTTAGGGGGTTGGTTTTGGCCGCCCGAGCATAAGTATTTTCGTTGGCCAGGGGCGATCGCATGTTTGGTTATCGGAATGGTAAGGGGAGTTGGGCTGGCAGCTGCAAAAAGTACACAAAACGAAACCCCTTGCAGTGCTTGATAAATCATGTGTAAAGGTATTTGTATAAAGTTTTTCGGGTTTTATTTTCTATCTTGTATGTTCGATTGGCGGCAGCTGCAGCTCGAAATCCTGATGCTGGCCCAGGAAAAGCCGGAGAGCGGAAAGCGGGAAAGCGGAAAAGCCAGTGTTGCCATGGAAAGTATGTAAAAAAAAACAAAAACGCCTCGCCGACAGGACGAAGAAAATATTTCGTTTTTAATTGATTTGGCATGCTTCAATTTAACGCTTCGCTGCCACTTCCTCTTTTGCATGCGAGTCCTGCACGTGTCCTTAGTTTAGTTTTTAAAAATTTCAATATTTCTACATACTCACTCGTATGTGAAAAGTGCAAGAACAGGCCCTTCCGCTCTCTGACATGCCAATGAGTCAGAGTCCCGCAAGGACCTGAACCTGAGCTCCTCTACTTTCCTAGCTACAGGTATGTCTTGGGGTTATTCCTTGCCTTAACACCACACCCCTCCCCTTTTTGGCACGCGTCAGAAAGCGAAGGGCGAGAAGTCAGTGGATAATTTTTAGGGGTTGCTCATCGGGTTTTTCTTATAAGAAGCATTCCTCAGCCGGAAGAAGCGAGCAACACGTCCAAGACATTGTTGAGTCACCACTGAAGTTATGATTAGCCCCGGAGACATCCACACTTTACCCCTGTGTGCCGGCATTTATTCCATTCAGGGGACCTCGCGAACCTTCGGGATCAGCGTTCTTATCGACGGCGCCTTGCTCGGGGCTTGTTCTTTTAGGGTCCTTTCATTCAGCCATTCATTCATTCCTTCATCACTTAATTGAGATGTGGAGGGAAGGAAAGGAAAAGAAGGAGGAGAGAACGAGGAGGACAAACCAGAACGAGCCCATAAAAGGGGCAATTCCTTTCGCCGGCTAAGTGCCAATTGTAGGTTTCACTTTAGGCTACAAATTGAAACGCCCCTTGCCAGGACTCTTCCCTTCTTCTTCCCCTCGTCCTTTTCTCCCTTTGTTTACCTTTTCTCGGTCTGCCTTGGCTTCCCTTGAGGAGAAGCCATTAAATTGATTATAAGACATTGTTGAAATGTGTAAACTGTTCCGTCCCAGACACTCGGTCGCCCAGGGAAGTCCCCTTTTTGTCTCAGTTTCTCTGACTGGTTTGCCCAATTTCTCAGTTTCTGAAGGCGTGGCATCTCTGAGTGAAGTCGAAGCTGAGGAATTCGACTAATTAGAGGGGAAGAACGAGAGTTGCATACAAAAGAAATAGGTGTCGAGGGGCCATTTGGGTAGGTAATGCCTCACCTCAAGGGGTTAATGAAGGTAAGGAGTCATTGCTGTGTTATTGAGGCAACAAGGTGTGCTTGGTTACCAAGGAGTTCCCCCGGAGAAGTCAGCTGAAACCACAGCTTAGAATGCTTTGTTCATGGGGTTAATGCCCGGAAATGACTCAAGGTGTGAATGAAGATCGGTGTAAGAGATTAATACTAATGGGTTAAGAAGTAAATAAAGAAAGGGAATCCTTTTCTATGTGTTAAAGTCAGCTTCTTGTGAGTAAAAAGCAGCGAATCAGAATGTTGTGATAAAGAACCAAGTTCCTTTCTGGTAATGAAAGTCTATATAAAAGTTGTAAAGCCAAAAGAGGAGTGTTAGCAATGCTTACTGCCTCCTATTATTAATAAAAAGAAAATCAAACAAAAAGAAAATCAAATGCAAATTTAAAACAAGGGTCCAATGACTTTCCCCGCCGGTTGCATCCTGTTCAGCTGGAAAAGTCAGCAGCTGCTGCAGGCGAAAACCTTAATCGGAAACCCAGATAGGAGTTACAGCCCAGAAATCTGTCGGGAGCCCGTTTTACGGCCCGTTAGCCAGCACACGTGTGCCATTGCATTAGCATATATTCGTGTGTGGATATCGAAATAGGCATAGGAAGCCCATGACGAAAGCTCCCTCCACGAAAACCCATGCTAAAGGGCGTCTATTAGGGGAAACAAAGCAAACAGCGCCGGCGCAACTGGGGTTCGAAGTTCAGATACCGAAACTGGGTTGGGCACGTTCCGAGGGTTCTTTTTGACTAGGACCAGCACCACCCCTGGCTTAGATAACTGCACACAGGAATATCGGAGTACCAGAAATACCAGCTGCCTTGCCAAAAACGAGTTTATCCTTATCCAACAAATTCAGGACTCCCTGAACTCGCGTGCCGTTGGACCGGCTTTTGGTTCCCTTCGAGCTCATTTCGTTGCTCATAAATAACAATGCAATGATCCCCAGGTATTTTTCACGTGTTTGGCACGTTTCACTCGATTTTCCGGTTCTCGATTCCCTCAATCCTCTGCACTAATCCCCCCGGAAAGAGGGCACGCGTCCTGTTTGATAAATTGTGCTTTAAAGCGCAGGGCAGAGAGGTGTTTCTGGGATTCTGTTTCTGGAGCAAACGCCTTGACAAATGGCCAAAACAACTCCGGAGGACAGGCCACCACGAAGAAGACGAACCATTGTCAGCCTTATTACTGGAATAAATCTTCATAGCCTCCAGTGCTCCTGGTTTATTTATCGAGCTATAGCAATTACATTAACTCTGTTATGGTCACGAGACAACGACCTGGGACCCGTATCGCAGCTGGGCATGCATGCAGGAAGAACTCCCAGAGGTCACTGCCCGGGGGAAAGCTGATCGGGAACTAGAGCAACAGACATGGGACTGCATTCATGATTTATGACTCACAAATAATCGAGTAAGAAGTCCTTTAAAAATATTTATTAATTAACTAAGGTAATTATTATGGTTTGAATGTAGCTTAAATTCCATCCGAATACCTATAATCTGAGTTTGAGAAAGTTTGAGAAAACCTTCGTCAACCTCTGTTGTCGGTGACTTGGCGGGACCAATGTTGCAGGCGCTCATTCATTTGCCGGAAGCCCAAGCGCGATGGAAGAGCCCTTTGGGCCTGGTGAAGACCAAAGACTCTCAAATGGTAGAGAAAGAATTCGAGAAACTCGAACTCCACGTCCTTGACATAGTGGAAGGATATGGCCGAGGCAGAACAGCAGTCGCTTCTCTAAAAAGATTTAAAGAATAATTTAGAGTGAGAGGGCAAATCAATACAAAAATATACATTTGGCTTGTGGAAAAAGTAACCATTGGTCCATGATTGCAGTTCAATGAAGGGCATCAATTCATAGGGACTGATGGGCAGAAAGCGGTGGCGTCCTTGAAAGTCCCGCGTATCTCCAGCTATAACACCCACATCCTGCAGGCAGTGACCGATCTGGAGGTCCTCGGCGAACTCATTCAACTTGCAGGTGGTGGTGCTGTTCAAGGCGAACAAGTTCAGACGTCTTAGGGCATCTCGGCTGAGCACATAGCCTGCGCCACCGGACATGTAGCCCTGGGAATATCCAGATTTGAAGCGACAGCCGAAGAACACCGACGATTCGGGATCGTAGGGATAAAGAAACAGGCGCAGATTTTCCATCACAATATAACTGGGAAAATAAAAATCTTTAAAAGATTCTTAACAAAGTCATCCACTTACGTGTCATCGTCGGCCTTCAGGAACCAGTCGAAGTCATTTAAGTAATGCTTGTGGGCATAGGCCATCCCTGTGCGCACTTTGGCATAGAGATTACCCCGGGTTTCGGGTATGTCCATCTTGAGAATACTTAGATTGGGATCTGTTTGGCTGCTCAAGAAGATCAGCTTGTTGCAGCGGGCTCCCCAGGTGCGGTTCACTCGGGCAGCCTTTGTGCTGTGTGAGGATGGCATGGTGAGCACTAAGCAGAGTATTCGCACCTCTCGATCTAGCCAGGTGGCCAGGACTTCCTCCGAGGCCACCGGATACTTCAGCAGAGCCGCCTTCTCGCTCGCCCGCAAGTCGCTTTCCCTCCACAGCTTCAGGTAACCTATAATATCAGTTAGTCGAACGCCCAACATGATGCCTAATACTAAGAAGACAGTATTCCGGACCATCACTGGGACCATTTCAAACTGTGATCGCAACGATTTTACGAGGAATGGGGAAAGATCTGACTAGCGTATCAAATTAATTTCATATACCTAATTAGCATCCATTAAGCCATAAGTTTTGTGCTAGTCTTAACATTATTTTAGTAATAATTCAAACTTCTTTAGCCCAGTTTCTAGCTGCTTACAGATTGGTTTTGCGGAAGTTGATTTATTTGACTAAGCATATCCTTCGTTAATTGGCAATAATAAACACCTTTTGGATTGCTTTCTCATATAACTACTTGTATTAAACTCTTGTTACTTCTATAATTAGTTGTAAATACTTCCTAAGTTAGCCAGGCGTTAGGGTTCGTGCTGTTTTCCAGAGACCAGTGGTAAAGCTGGTTCTGCATTTGATTGGGTTCCAGCCTGGGTGGCAGCGATCTCTGGGACAAAGGATGTCCAAAGACCCGTAATCGGTAAAGCAGAAACTCGTACATTTCGAACTCATAGTTCTTGACATAGTGAAAGCTAATGCCTGAGGTCGAGCCAGTTTCATTAGCCTAAAAAGGGCCTATTAATCTTGGTAAGCAAACACATTTAACAACTTGTACTTACAGGTTCATAGAAGGTCAATTTGTGTAGCCAGTTATCGGTGGGAAAAGAGGGCAGCATAGACTTGAGAGACAAGGGCAGAAACCGGTCACGTCCTTCCTCATCTCGGGAGTCCCCCGCCACCACGCCCACATTCTGCAGACAGAAGCCGATCTGCCTGTCCTCGGACATGTTGTTAATCGGACACAAGTGGGTGTTGTTGAAAGCAAAGAGATTGAGCCGACGCAGTGCATCCCGACTCATCACGTAGCCAGCACCTCCGGACATGTAGCCCTGCGGAAAGGACGATCGGAATCTGTGGCCAAAGTAGAGAGCTGCCTCAGGATCATATGGGTAAAGCAGGAGCCGCAGGTTTTCCATTATCACAAAGCTGAAATAAGGAGGATTTTATAAGTGATAACAGGAGGGTAAAGTAGGGACCTACTAAAACTTACGTGTCGTCATCTGCCTTGAGGAACCAGTCGTAATCCTCTCCATAGTTTTGGTACACATAATCTAGGGCTATTCTCATCTTTAAGTATAAGTTTTTTCGTTCCTCGGGCACGCCCACATCAATGGCGCCCAGTTCCCGATCTTCTAGGGTGCTGATGAAGATCAGCTTATTGCATCGCTTGCCCCATGTGCCCTTCACCCTCCTGCCTCTCGTGAGGTGATTCTTTGGCGTGGTCAGCACCATGCACAGCACCCGCGTCTCGTTATGGAGCCAACGGGCCAGGGCCTCCTCTGTGGCGAGCTGGGGCGTGGCCTCATCATCGAACTGCGTTATCGGCGTGCTCCCAAAATCCGATCTGGTAAGCTGGAAATACTCAAAGAAGTCAGTCAGCCGGATGCCGATGATGAGGCCCAGAGCCAGGCAGAGTATATTCCGATACATTGAGAGTGTGTTCCAGGCAGCGACTAACCAGCGCCAGCTGGCATTTGGTGATTCTCCGGAGGGGGACTTGTGGGCAGCGGAGTGGAGCTCTTACAAAATGAGCCGGGGGAACAGCGAATGCATTTCGCGGTGACGTTCATCGCCGCCAGCTGATCGACGACTGCTCGATGGCCAACTTCGCAAACAGCTTAAAGAGTCTCCCATAACAGAGAGAGAAATCGGCAATTAAGTATTTCGGATTTTTAAAAAATAAGACTCATATTTCTTCAAAGTCAACCCAAAGCCATTAATCATTCTGGACCATTTGGCATTTAGTTTTTAGTCTCCTACGATATGACCATAAAAATCATCTTTAATATTTTATCACATACGGAACCAATTTGTCCAAGGTTAATCCACTTAATCAAATATTCCGCTAAAGTTTTCTTCAAGTGCACTTCTCTCAGCCACGTTGAAACAAGTTTTCGAGTTTGGCTTGTGATTGGCATTTCTAATGAGTCACACGTGGAGCGGTCGTCTTCGCTCTCGAGCTGTCCACAGTTTATATTCGGCAAATCTTTCAAATAGTCAACAATAGAGAATCAAAACAAGACTCACGACTCACGTTGGGCCAATGCCGAAGCCTATCGTCGGTTGACTAGCCGCCGAATGGTTTCCCTTTCCCTTTCTCGAACCAAGATCATCCAGAGCAGCGCCAGCTATTTTTGGGAGCAACCGGTTTGGAGCTTCCTCTTGACCCACTCTGGCATAAATTAGCGACTCTCGCCCACTGAAAGCCAATTTAATCCACCGAACCGAACCGCTGAACCGCTTTGCTTGGGCAATGAAATCAAATCAATTTTAGTTTATTGCTAGATAATGTTTCATTTCATTTCGTTTGTGTTTTAGATTTCCATGTTACAATATATAATCGGCTTGTTATGCTTACTTAGTACAACTGAATTCGTTTTAGTTTGTAGATTTACTTTAGCATGGTTTATTCTTTAGACTAAATGTGGACTAAATATTTCGCTTTACTTTGTTTTGTTACTCGTTTCGCGTTGTTAAACAGCAAGTATCTTGTTATTCTTTGTTTTTCCCTTTTGGCCATTATTTTTCTTCGACTTAACTGCGGCCTAGAAAACTTTGTTACAAGACTTTAAAGATTTGTTTGTCTGCAGGCTAAACGTACTTAGAGCTGCTCTGTTACTCCGATCTATTCCCCGATTACACGCTAATATCCTCGTTATACGTTTAGTAAGTGCACTTGCCAATTTCTGTTTATCGGAGGAGCCGCCTCTGGCCTCAAAAAGTAGAAAAATGTTGCAAAATAAACAAAAATTGTCCGGCAAACTGAACTTCAACAATCGGGGTAGTAGTCCCTCTCCACTCTCACACCTGATCATACGCAAAGTGTTAGTACTTATCGTTAGTTAGTTACACAGCCTTAGAAACTACTTAAGAACTAAAACATACATAAATCGAGGAAAACAAAGTGCCAAAGGGTGTTACAAAAATGATCAAAAAATACAAAAATCCCGATTTGGTTTAACAAACTAAAAGGATAAAAGAACAGTGTGTTTTTAGACCATTAGGCAGTTGGAGGCTTACGCAAAATAAATGTTGATTGATTAAATATGAAATAAATTCAGTTTCGACTGCGTCTTCAGAATCAACTCTAAAACACACTCTTCGGACTGGACATAACAATAAGTGCTGGCATAATTGGTAATTTTGTTTTAAAATAAAAATATACACAAATTTTTAGAGTATTACATAAATAATATAACAATTGACAAAAAAAAAAAATGATGTTTGAATTTAGCGAAAATTGTATAATTTTACGTCTTTAGTTGTATTTTTATCCTAATTTTTCTTTCGTTCATGTTTGACATATTAATTTCGCTTGCAAAAATATATGTTACTGGTAATTCAACTTCTTTCAATCTTTCATTGTAGCTTTTCTTGGTTTTGTATAAATTGGATTTATAAAGTTATATGTATTGTATGCTTGTTTGTTTTCAGTGTATTTTTACTGTTTATGGTTTTAGCTTGGCTTTAGACTACATTTATCAGTATCTTTATTGTTTTTCAATTTTCTTTGCTTCAACATTTCGTTACGTTTTGTGGTTTTATCATTATCATTTTTTTTTTTTTCCATTTTTCTTATAGTTTTAGGAACCTATTTGTAACTAGCAAAACGCAGACGCGTACAAGTTTCTATAAAAATGTTTCCCTATAATTTGGCTTACAATTAGTTCATATTTGTATAACATCAAAATATATATGTAGATTTATATTAATTCGCTTTTGTGTCCTATCCATAATATGTTATATATGTCAATGTATTCCTCTAGTATACGATTAGCTTAGGGATATTTCAAGATTTTCCGCCTTCCTACTACCGAAGTCCTGGTACTTAAGTAGACCGCAGAGTTGCCATCTATTTGAGAACGAGTACTTTTCTGTGGTATCAGCACGCATACCAATGATCCTTGGGGAATTCGAAACTGTACTACTGTGCAGTCTAAAAGTATGCAATGAAATTTCGCATTCCCCAACAGATGTTTAGATGCGTTATTCTTAGTTAGCCGCTTGTATATATTCCTTTCTTGCTTAGCCGCCGACTATACAAAGCTTTGACATGCTATTAGCTTTTCTTTTTTCAAATTCTTTTTTTTTTTTTGTGTGTTTTTTGTAAATTATTAGATGCTTTAACATTGGCACGATATCTATAATATATATGCGTTTACATATAGCTTAAGAAAATATATATGGGGTGTATACGTTTGTTAGATAGCTATCAACTAGTATGATTGATTAGTTTTAGTTCAGACCCGATTAGACATATTTAGTTTTCCCTTGCAATCGGTCGCTTTAAACCCAACACAATTCTCTAACATGGTATACTAAATGCTCTACGCCTAGGCAAATTATGTTAAGAGCTTGAATATTATAAAGGCAAACAACGAATCTAAGCCAGGGGTGGGATCCCAAAAAAAGTTTCACTAACTATGAATAACAAGTTCCGTATATATATATACATGAATCTGCCTGCCTAACTGATTGCGTATAAAACTAAACAACATATAAAATAAATTACAAAATGAACGCGCTTCTAACTTAGTTACTTCCTCTAAAAAATACAAAATAATGCAATGTACAGTGTGGTCAAGCTATAGCCTTCACGATAATCATTTCTTGACATTATCTTTTCATTTAAACTATTGGAGGTTTCATAAAGTACCAAGTTCAACCTTCGATCTGAGCAAATAAAATTTTATCAAGGGAAGATCCTATCTGATTTCGGTCTCCAAGACCACATTCAAAATTTGGCTTTTCGATTTTGAGATTTTGCGGCTATTACTCTGACCACCACTGCCTTTAACTTTTACTTTTTGTGTCGAAAAGACCTTGTGTTCTAAATGTATATTCCTTTAAAGCATATTCAAAGCATTCCATATATTGTTGCTGGGTTGTTTGTTTAAATGCAAGCTGCTTGCCGCGAAACTGATCAACTACAATATATGATTATTTTGTGTATATTTACAGCTCTAAGCGTTTGTCATAACATATTGAGGGAAATTCTAGAGGGTTTTGGGGGCTTCCCTAACAATTACTACGAATAAAGGCTGGGAGAGCTTTTGTGCCACAGATTAAATAAGGGAGTTACATTTCGCTGGAGAAGTTTGTAGATTTAGCACTAGGTTTACTCGCTGTTTAGTTTACAGAGCCCTTTCGTTCCTCCCACTCTTTGTACAAAGTTTTCGATTATCGAGTTCTTTTTGCTGCTTATGCTTCTGCTCAATCTTAATTCTAGGCTAGCTTAGAGCTAAGTTTCATTCTTACACAATCGCACTCTAACACACATGCATGCGCTTTGGACTTTTGGGCTTAAATATATACCGCTCGAATATATCTAATTGTTAACTTGTATATGTATATGCATATAAAACCAAACTCTCACTACTCTCGCTCACACGCACTGACACAAAAAAATATATGACTTATATAGCTAACACTTAAAGTTCTGATGTATTCTTACAAAGCCCCTTGCGGTCGCTTTTCACTTGTTGTCCCCGGCATTCGATGAAGAGGAGCTGTTGCCGACCACTCCACCCGATCCTCCACCATTGGTGGTCTGCTGCTGGGCATTCTGCTGCTGTGGGGGCAGGGTATCGGAGCGGCGGTAGTACAGAAGGTAAGGCACCCGTGGAGTATGCGGCTGGAGAACATGCTTCTCGCTGACCGGCTTCACCGAGCTGTCGTCGTAGCGCAGCCAGCTGCTGTAGCCCGTGTGGAACACATCCGTGATGTAGTGGCCCTTCGAGGCCTCCTTGCCATCGTGATAGACAACCGCAAACAGGCGATAGGCGCGCTGTTTCTGCGAGGTCTTTTTCGATCCAAGGATTTCTGCGAAAGGAAAGGTTAATCAATAGGAATAGGATTTGGGGAGTTCTACGATAACATACTGGCATCGATCTTCAGTTCTACGGGGAAATCCACCTTCTTCAAGATTTTTGTGCACCCATCAGACCGGTAGTCGAAGTACTTTAAATGCAATATCAGGACGACGGGCAGTTTCTCCAGCGTCATCTGCTGCCAGGCCACAACCTCCTGCTTGGTCTTGCTGCCGGTGACACCCTCTAGCTGGTCGCGACCCACCAGGATCTCCAGCGCTTCCTTCACAGAAGCAGCTTTCTGTAAAGTAAAATAATTCAAGCATTAAAGTAAGCCATCTGACTGAGTACCTTAATATTGTATTATTTCTGTTTGTGCCTACTGTTGAAGAGAGAACCAACTAGACCGGAAATTCTCTAATTAAAAGCAAAACACGTGCATCAACCTCAGCGTCTAGTGAAAATCGCCAGAACGGAGATCATCGCCAAACGCAGACGAGGCTAATAACAATTAATCTTCCACGGACGTAACACAGACGGCGGCAGTTAGTAGAGGCCGAAGTGTCTGTTGACTTGCCCGTGGCTGCAATGCATTTCACAAAACTTACTTCGATGTTTAATTGAAGCGTAAAGAAAGGCTGAATCACATCCGTCGAGTGTTCTCCCTCGCGTTGCAGCCGGGAACGCAGTTCTCCCCTAAAGATATCGCTTACAGGAGTCCGTCCAAAGTCGGTTTGACGGGTGACACTTCCCTTGTTGCGATTGTTGCAAATCATCTGGTGGAAGAAATATTAAATAAACTGAAGTTTCTTCGTAATAAAACAATTACTTACCTGCCAGACATCGCCGCCATCTTCTGGCTCGGCTGGCTCCTGGCCGTTTTGCTGGGGTACAGGTTTGTCAATCAGTTTGATCACCTAAGACAAGGTAAAAATATACATGAATAAAATTTAAAAATAAATATTGTTAAGTACTCACCTCCAGCATCTCATCGTTGAGCTTGTTAAGGACGTAGCCCAAAAACTCTTCGGCATCCTCCTGGCGACCTTCGACGTGCTCCTCCCGACTGTCGTTCCACAGCTTGTAGATCTCTGTAGGCTCAAAGGCAATGTCGCATTGCAAATCAGAACCCACAAACTCGTCCTTTCCCTTGCTCTGAGATCCCTTGTTGAGATTGTTCAGGCGCAGACGTAGGCCACTGGGCAGCGATGAAAAGTTCGTCATAAAGGACATCCTAAAAGAATTTTGGAATTTTAATAAAAAATATTGCATTTTAAGTTGAAAAGTGTTTGTGCCCGATTCGAGGATGTACGAAAAGTAGAACCCTCTGCTCAGAATCGGGGCACGTACAACAACCCCAACGGTCAGCAGTTACCGCCAGAACGGCAGTAACCAAAGATCGTAGGCGGAGTCGCTGAAATTTCATCTTCCACAAACGTAACACAGACGCCGGCTGGCAATTGGTGCCGAAGTGTCTGTTGACTTGTCTGTGAATCGGAATCAAGTCTTCGACTCTTCCTAGTTATCAAAAAATTAACCTCCCATCACTTACATGGCGTTCACAGTCGGCGTTTTGACCTCGCTCAAGACAGCTGCCTGCTTGGGAATGGAGCGCAGCAGGTTATAGAACGGCGAACAGCCGAGAAGAGCCTGCAGGATGGAGTTAATATAGCAGTAGTTGGACCTGTTGGTCAGTCCCCGTGGACGCAGGCTTATCGGCACCAAGTTAGTCTTGTGGCGTGTCAGGTACTCCGCGTACTTGTTGGTCCATTCATCTAGTTGTTGCTGCACCGCGCGCGGGGGCTCTGGCTTCAAGGGCTTCACGGATGCGGAGGCGGGATTAGGAGCAGGCACTGCCTGGGCAGATGCAGCCGAATAGGACAGAGTTCCTGGAGTGACAAGCGGAGCTGTGGGCGCCGGCACAGGAGCTGGCAACTGCGATTGCTGGTGAGCCGTGGGCAGTGGCAAATTTTGGGTTGGCGGTGCCTGTTGAGGCACTGGACCAGCAGCTACCACTTGAGCTGGCTGCGGAGGAGCCAATTGGAGCACTGGATGAAGCTGCTGCTGCTGCTGCAGAGGCTTGCTGGACTCATAGGGCGCCACTTTGGCCACGGGTCTGTTACTGGCGAACAAACTGGCCCACGAAAGCTGGGTACTGTCGCTGCTATTCTGCGAAGCTGGTGGAGCAGGCGGAGCAAGATTAAGCTGTGGTTGAGGACTGCTTGATGAACTGGAGGCCACCACAGAGCTTAAGGCCACTGTCTCATAGCTTTGATGCTTTTTAGCAGCAAAGCTGCTGTATGATTTGGTGGGTGCTGCTGCTGCGACAGGCACATGTTGCTGTGGTGCTGGATGCGGAGCAGCTACTACTGGTCCTGCGCTAGTGTTGCTGATCTCCTGTTGGAATTGATTTGGGGAAGCCGTAATGCTGGCCGTTGAGGTAGTTGCTGTTGTGATTGCCACCGTCGTCGGAGTAGCAGCTGGTGTTGCCGCTGCATGCTGGCTGTTCTTACGCTCCAGCGTTGGTGCTGTGCTAGCCACCGGAGAGGAGGGCACCTTCATAGTGCCATAGGTGCGCACCTGAGGTTGATTATTAGTGCTGCTTGAGCTGCTGTTGCTGCTAGTGTTGCTGTTGTAGTTGTTCTGATTCTGGTAGTGCTGCTGCTGCTGCTGGTAATGCTGCTGGTTGGTAAACGTCTTTGTGGTGTGACTGTAGTTGGTCTTGCCCGCCGGTCCACTGGCAACACCCGATCCATTGTTTACATTATTTGGCGAAGCGGTGACCGAAACCGATTGTGTGGACTTTTTGTGCTGAGCAGAGTGGGTCCAGGACATAGTCTTGGTAGTCTGGATGCCCGTGTCGCTACTACCGTGCTGGTGGTGGTGATGATTGTACTCCGAGGAGTACTTACGACGCACCTGTTGCTGCTGGGATTGGTTGTATTGCTGCGGTGGCTTGCGCTGTTGCTGCGGTTGTTGTTGTTGCTGCTGCTGCTGCTGTGGCAATTGATGTTGATCATGGTAGCTAGTCTGCTGTGGTGGTTGCTGCTGCTGCTGCTGGGGTGGTACCACCACCGGCGATGTTTGCTGCTGCTGATGCTGCTGCTGCGATGTTGGCTGTTGTATTTGAGGTGCCACTGTAGCTACTGCAAGGTTTGGCACTTTTGTTGGCTGCTTTTCAGTTTGCTGCGCTGGCAATTGTGGTTGTGGCTGTTGTTGTTGTTGTTGCTGCTGCTGAAGCTGCTGCTGTTGTTGCAAATGCTGTTTCTGTAGTTGCTGCTGATGCTGCAGTTGCTCCTGCTGCTGCTGGTGGAACTCCAATTCAATTTGCTGCTGCTTCTCGCTGGCCAACTTTTCATCCAAGGCCACCTCGTTGTTGTTGTTTGTCAAGCCCTTGTCAGCTGTAAGAAGCGAGAACGAAAATTGCAATCAATAAGTGCTTTTACTTTGACCTTAAATGGAATTCCCACCACCCTTCAAGTAAGACCAGATATCCAATTGCCGCATGCAAACTAATTTACGAGATCTACATAATTGATGCCAATTGATGCTAAATGCTAAGAGCAAGCATGTTCAGCAAGCACTGAAAGAATGCTACTGATGGTTGAGAAAGAAACTACACCCAAGCAAAGGAATTTTCGGAAGCCACGGGCAATTAATGCTTTATTAATTTGTTAATAAGTGGAGAGTTGGGACATTTAATAAGCTGTATCCAGAGTAAATACAGATTGTCTGCTGCTAATCATACACATATAGATGGTCCAATAACTGCCGCCAGGCATTGTTCTCATGTCCGCATTTCTGCTTTATTTGCCCTGATAAGCGAGCCATCGATTGCAGCTATCAGCTATCAGTGCAAATAGAAAACATAACTAATCCATGTCAAACTCAAGTAGGGAAAAAACAACACGAGAGTTCTGGGGAGTAGACCCCATTTAGGGGTATTCGACGGAGCAAATTGTTATTAAATCACTAGCCGATGGCCTGTTGCTAGGTGTTTGAACTTCGCTCTCGACCCTGATATGGGGCAAAAGATAAACGGCATTGCCAGCCACCACCCATTCGATAAGAGCCACAACAAAGTAAATCCGGAATAAGGTTAACCCCCAGCAACAGAGGAATGGGAGTCAACATCCATGTGATCTCCCTACCCAGATTAAGTTCAAACAGATCGCTCCCTAAATTAAACTCGTACAAAGAGGAAATCAGATCATTAAATATTGCATTGCTTCTGATAAACATTACAAATGATCTCAATTTTATGATACAACATATTGATCATTTCTATACTTATCATGATGAAACATCGATGAGTATTAAGCCACAAGCAATAAGCTATCCTTAACATTGGTTTCTAGTTAGATCATAAAAGTAAATGGGAAACCCATTCCGTCAATGGTCTACTTACATTTTCCCGTGATCCTTCCCTATTTGAAATGCCTTTCATGAATTGGTTATAAAAAAAGGAAATATATTCCTTGACAACATAAGACAACTTTCCCAGGGCAGACTGTACTCTTTGCTATCTCTGATATTTATTTCTATCTTTAAGGCATTTTAAACGTGCTAAAACTAGATTGATTTGATACCCTCCCTCACAAGGGTTTTATTTTGGCGGGAAATTAGCGAACGAGCACTAACTAAGTGCTCTTCAGTTGGGAATTTGGCAATTGGTTGGCGGTGTTAAACGCCCATTTATGGGGCATATATTATAGGACATGATAGCAGATTCACCCCCGCACGACCCCCATTTAAAAGCATCATATGACAATGAGGCCGCCGGCGCACTTCCTCACTCCCCCTCTGGAACTTCGAGTGCGCTAATTAATTTCAATTAGCGACTAACAGCCCGAGAACTAAGTGTGCGCGTTGTTATTCAATAAATATAAATATAGGTGAAATCGAGCAGATCGAGTGCAAATATTGTATGGAAATGTGTGGACCAACAGCAGCAGCAACAGCAGCAGCAGCTGAGATTAATGCATTAAAAATAGTTGCAAATACGAGTATATAGGCGAATCTGAGACGTATCTGTGCCAGGGTGTCAGTTCGGGTGCAATAACAACAGCTTTTCGAACGTGTTGCCATAACGATTCAATAGAGAGGGACGCACTGTGTTTGGGGTAGTGCGAGAGAGAGCGAGAGATCCGCACTGTCACAAGGTTGGATGGATAATTACAGACATGAGTGCACAGGTAAATTGCAATAAGTTGACTGCAGCAACAAAAGCAAACAGGGAAATTGTCAGGCACGAAGCAACAATATAACACACAAGCAGCGAGACTGTACTTCATTTCCATTTGTTATTCCATGTTCCGTGTGATAAATGAAAAATCGACGGGGTCGGGGGGTGGAACAAACACAATCCATTAGAATATACAGCACCATCCCCACCATGCACTTCCACTTCCACTTTCGAAAAACCAACTCGTCTTGAATATCGCTTTCGGTTTCATCTGTATAACAGTTAGCCCCCCAAGCCCGCCAAGCTTCATTAATTCAAATGAATTTGTTTTCCAGTCTCAAATGAAGATACAATTTTAGAGAAATCCATTGGGTTTCAGTAATTGTTTCCCCCTTCCCAAATTGAGCATAAGCATCCAATGAAAATGGGTCAACTTTTGGTTCATTTACTGGCATTCCTAAAGCCTCCCCCTTTTCTTTATTCCAGTTTTCATTTGTTGATGTTATTGAACGCGCGATTTTATTCAATTTTTTATTAGCTAGCAACAGAAATCGTAGGAGCCGGAGGCCGGGACCCAGTCTATGAGTAATTTATGCTCATTGAGCTTCGATTCGATCCGAGAGAGCCGCAAGTTGTAAACACGATATGGGCGCTTTTTAATTGAAAGAATCAACAAGCGTAGTACAGAATACCATTCCGGCTCCAATGTTTGAATATTGGAATATAGTAAAAATCGGATCACAAATATATGTACAACTATATAGATATGATGTGATAATTAAAGTGTGAAAAATAAACTAATTACCACGAATTAAACTCTTTATTTTAAGGCTCTATTGACGGAAGCATAATATTTATTGATATTGATATTGATATTAACAGAAACTGTCCCATAAAAAGTTTAATAAAATATATATTATATTTTTCATACTCTGCTGATTAGTTTTTAATCAGTTCCCTCTGAGTCACCAACAAAATGAACACAAACCAAACCAGTCTAAAGTATATTTTGATGACAAAGAAACCAGAATAAAGAGTTCTGTAATTATGACGCACATATGTAAGTAGATAGCATTGCTCTTCTTCAAAAAATATACAAAGTTTATATAAATAAACTTCTTGAAAGACAGCTTGATGCATATAAAATATTATTATTACTCATCTGTTTATTGTTCTCACGATTCTTCCCATGCCTTTAAATGCAATTAAATCAAAAAGTGACTGAAGAAAGCAGTAGAATTTTCCAGCCAACGAGGCATGTGCGTAACGTGAGCCACAGACATTTCCCAGCCATCCATCCGTATTGATTGAACTGACCCGCATGCGATTAAACGAGTGGTCTTGCCATAATGAAACTTGTTCCCGGCATTCTAACTGCCGAGCCCCATTGAAATTGATAAGTAATCTGCTCCAGCGATGGTTCATTCAATCCATTGCTCCAGCAGACTGGGGGTACATGGGGGATACAAAACCACATACAAAACAAAGACACTCAGTATCCACCGCCTGGCAACAGGGCCGAAAACGAATTGTTGTAGACAATTCAATTGAATTCATTTGTGTCAATTTACAATAAATAATACCCAAAGCAGAGCAGACACAAGCGGGGTGGAAAAGCTAAAAACAATAAGTGAAATTGAGTGCAGAAGAAAATTGCATAATTCTATGAGCCACGCGACCTTCGCCGCAGAAGAAAAACAAACAAACTATAAAGTTTTACTGCGGATAGATGGGTTAGTGTTCCCTCATCATATCGCCGAATTTTTACGAGTGGGCGGCTGTTGACGGTTTTTTTTCGAAGTGGCTTTAAAGAATCCACTGATAAGCATTGATGGCGCGACGAAATGCCAAAAGCAGTAGAAGTTAAGGTAAACTGACAGCCGAAGGAAGTATGAGCAGCTACTGAAATGTATCCTTTGGCCACCCCCTGCCCTCATTAGCATATAAATGCGTGTAACAGATTACGAAGGACATTTGTGCTCACTTCAATGTAACCTGTACATACAGTCCAACTTCTTTTGACGAAAAAAAGGATTTTTAGCAACTTAACAAGGAGCAGCTGACAAGACAAACATACAAAATATGGTGCTAAATGAAATCTCTAGTTAACGTAAATTTTAAAAGTAAAACATCGAATCGAATTCAATCCCCCCAAGGTATGTATCCAACAAGTTGGATTGATTCCCCTCCAAGCTCGACTGTAACTGCCAGATAGGCAATATATCTGACAGATACTGAGGCCAGGTTCGTCGGTAAAACATGCGCTGCATGCCAAGCGACGCAACGCAACAAGTTGAACAGGCAAAAAACAGCAAGGTAAAACAGTCGAAGCAACAAACTGCGTCATTTTGAAAACACAATATTCTACAAGCTGTATTTTTGTATCTGTCGCCATGTATCTGTATCTGACTCGGAGCAATGGCAATGGCAAGGAAAGCGTTGTCAGCGTAAAAAAAACGCTTAGCAGCGAAACAAAGCGAGAAAAGCATTGACTGCACAACACGGCGTATGCGCAATTTTCATTTTCATTAACAAAGAAGGCATGGGATCTAGGAATCGGAGGGGGTACAAGATATCACGGGGGTGCTCTTAATGGGGTGCTGCAAAGGAGGTGGGGCAGCAATAATTGAAGAGTCATCACTGGTTCATTCAACCTGTTAGCAACGAGGAAATAAAGGAAGAAAGAAAGCTCTTGGCCAGCTGGAGAAATCTTTTTATGTTCTTGTCTCTGTAAAGCTCTTTTCTCTCGGCAAAAGATGAATAGTTCAAGGATAGTTTATTCATTACTCAAAGTGAACATCTGAGACAGTGAGAGAAAGAATGTAATACAGCATCTTTACCTATCTTGGGGCCATTAATCAAACAATAAGTATCTTTAGTAAAACTTAACACGTAACCTTTAAAAAGAAAACACTGATAAATGCAGAGTAAATTATTCTTTACTACCTAATTTGTTTTTCTGAATAAGCAACTTAAGATAAATGAGTCAGAGTAATACTAGGAATTGAATTTTTAAATAGGTTTTTTAATGTTTTTCCCAGTGCATTGCCCCATTTCAGCCGCATTTCACTTGGTTGCATTTGATTTTTTGGCACAGAACGCAGTACGAATTCCGTTGAAAATGGGGCAGCTAATTTCACAAAGACACCTGGTTCATGCGGCCACTACTCAACCCTTTAGTTTTACCCCTTGGCACTGAAAAACTTTAGCCACGCGCCGGGATATTGGGTGTCCTGTGCCACCTCCTCATTTTCCCCAAAGTACTATGCCTTTTGCATTTTGCATTTTGCGCCCCATGCATTTTTAATGAAGCTTTCTAACCACACGCATTGCGGTAGAACAGTTTTGCCGTGATTACCGCTATTTCGTATTACGTTTCAGTTAGGCTAAGTGTAATTTGCAGACACACTCACAGATTGTCGTCCAAGATTGGAGGCGTTGGCCATTTGAGTCCCGACGTAATGCTTTAATAGTAGGGCAAACAAATCGAGTTAGGAAAACGAAAAAAAATACGTGGGAAATCGGAGAAAGAGCCAAAGTGGCGCCCTCTGGCGTTGACCCACAATATCGGAGGGGTTTCTTTTTCCTCCATGTGTGCGTGTGTTTGACATGGAATTTTTATGAATGACATTGACCAACCACCCGAGAAGAACAAGAACTGCACACATCCCTCCCCCCGAAGAAAAGAGAGAGCAAAAGAGAACGGAAACCCTCGTACGAAATCTCTTAAGACGTTTCACCGCAACTGCTACAAAAAAAGTGCTAACCATGCCGAAAAACTGTTATAAACCAGAAGGCGAATAAGCACATTTTACGTTTTTACGACCTGGCAACAGTCGGAAAGACTTGATAAACAAAATAACTACAAATATCTCAAAAGCCTTCTTATCGCTGCGTGTCGAATGCATTTTATTATTTAGGTGAGCCAACTGTTAAGATAATGCGCAGATTATACAATTTGTCGGCGCCTAAAAGGCGGCAGCCGAAAATAACACTTTCACCCAAACACGCACTTAATGGAACAGTAATACTTCAATAACTGAAACTTTGAATTTAGGAGTTTTTAAGTTGAAATTCCAAAAAAAAAAAAAAAATATATTAATAATAAAAATAAAATAAAAAAAAAGTCATATTATATCCCCGAAGTTCAATTAACTTTGTAAAGGAAAGGTGATAAACATTTTAAATAAAACCTTTTAAGGATTAAAGTTCATTCCTCATTCATCAATTTCATCATTAAATAAAGGTTTAAGACAGTTTTGAAGAAAGTTCAATTTGCATTGTCTTCAAAAGTTGTCCTGTACGAATGAGAGTGTGTTTTAAAAAGTAAAAGTCTTTTGGGGGCGAAATACAGTTAACCTTTAACCTAAATCGCCAACAAAGAGCAACAGTTCCGGCGCTCTTTGATACTTTTACTGCTGTTATACGAGCGCTGTACGATAGTACAATTAGAACAGTAACATTGGCCATGTGGCAAAAGGCGGTTACCGGTTTTTCAGGCTTTACCTTTTCAAATTCAAATCAAAGAAAAGCAAAAGATGGCACAAAAAATGAAAAAGACAACCCTTGGGCAAACAAAGAGGGGTTGTTTGTCTAGTTCGCTTACTCTCTCTCGTTGTACTCCTCGCGCTTTGTTTTTGTTTCAATCAGCTGTTTTTTGGGGGCAAGAGAGCGAGCGAGAGAACGTTAGTGGAGCTTGCGCTCTGTGAGCTTGAACTTCAAATGCAACGAGCGAGAGAGTGAACGAGAGGCAGCGAGAGTGTTTTTACAGAAATTTAGAATTTGTCTTTGTATATCGTATAACAGTCGCTTTTTGCTGCCGTTACGAGGAATTTTCATTTTCATTTCGCAGCGAACGGCGCAGCAGTCCAGAACAAAAGTCGGGCAATTCGAAATCGGAATCGGAGATTGTTATTTTTCGCCAGATTCGCAAAAACCAAAAAGAATGAAAATAAAATTGTCGCTAAAATGCAACTGCAGCTAAAAATTATCGAGTAGTGTTAGTGCCGCCGAGTGTGTGTGTGCGCTTTTTATCGATCACACTCCGCACTTCTTCCTCCTTCCTTCCTCCTCACTCCTCTCTCTTTCACTCTGGCTCTCTCCAATTGAATTTCAAAGCTGAAAATCGGAAAATTATACAATTGCATTCGCAAATTACGACGTACACACGTACGTACGTACAGCACCCCCAAAAAAGCTGAGCAAAAGCGAGATAAACGCAAAATCAAAGTCAAAGAAGAAAACAGCAAAAAGGCAAGGAAAATCTAAGGAAAACAAACATTTTCTGGTGACCTCAGATGCAGCTGCAAGTGCAAGTTAAAAATACACAAACAAAGCGGAAATAAGCAACAAAAAGCGGAAAAAGCACAAACAGTAACGGTTCAAACTAAATCGAGCACAAAACAAACTCAAAACTAGAGCTACAGTACTTATTTACATGGCTGGAAAGGCAACCATCATCTAATATTTACTTAAATATACAGGCAGGCAGGCAGCCCACGCCTTTTATCGCTTGTGAATTTATGAATTTATCAAACTAAAACAAAAACAAAAACTCAATAACAATTGACACACACAAGACCAAGCACACAACTGCAGTGGGAGAGCCAAAGAGAGATTCAAAGAGAGCGTGAGTCGAAGAGATAACTTGGGCTCTCTCCTTTGCTTTTGGCATTCGCACGCGGGCAGCGACGCCAAGCGGACGTTCCTCCTCCTTCTTCGCCATCACCATTCGTGCTTTTCGACCCCTTTTTAACTCCACAAAAACCGCGTGTGCTCGGTACTTAGGCACCTAGGGAACCCTAACCCCCAATCCCACCACCATGGTGGACACAAACAGTTCAAATCCCGGCAATATGGGCGGCAATTCCGCCTCATCTGCACGGCTAAGGAGATTCGAGAGGACAGACAGCGAGTTGGCCTGTGAGGAGGCGGCTAGACTGACGGCCGAACAGAGTCCAGAGGATGAGGACAACCAGGAGGAGGATGATGAGGACGAAGAGAGCGTCTATGGGGAGCTGCCGCCTCCGCCGGACGGAGGATACGGCTGGGTCATCTGCTTCGCCAGCTTCATGTGCAACATGATAGTGGACGGCATAGCCTACACATTTGGACTCTTTCTGCCGGAGTTTGTGTCCTACTACAACGAAGGCAAGGGCACGGTCGCCTGGGTGGGCAGTCTTCTGTCCGGAGTTTACCTGAGTGCCGGACCCATCGTATCCGCCCTAGCCAACAAGTACGGATGTCGAGCTGTCTGCATAGCCGGCAGCATAATCGCCTGCATAGCCTTCGTTCTCAGCACATTTAGTGGCACCGTGACCATGCTGATGGCCACCTATGGTTTCATGGGAGGATTCGGTTTTGGTATGATATATCTGCCAGCTGTTGTAGCCGTGGGATATTATTTTGAAACCAAGAGAAGTCTGGCCACCGGAATCGCCGTTTGCGGTTCCGGCGTTGGAACCTTTGCCTTCGCCCCTCTGGCCAGATATCTTCTGGAACAATTTGGCTGGAAGAACGCCCTGCTCATATTTGCGGGTCTAATCCTCAGCTGCGCCATCTTCGGAGGTATGATGAAACCCCTGACCTATCCGAAGAAGAAGAAGCAGAAGCCCTTGATGCAAAGAATGTACGAGGAGAAACAGCTGCAGCTCGAAAGAGGGTCTTTTGCTGGTTCCCACTTCATGGTACAGCTACCCGATGGAACCATGGAGCGTAAGCTTAAAATGCCACTAAACGCCGATCCAGGAGTTCACTCCAGCTTGAATCTTGAGCTTCTAGCTCAACAGTCGGGCGGCGGAGGAGGTCTACATCCAGTTTCCACTCTGCCCACCATCACGGAATCCAAAGTGGTTGATGTCCATAGGCAGAACGGCGCTCAATCCCCTCCAAATGGTGACAGCAATGGGCAGTTATCAGCTCGGTCCGCTGCTGGAGCCGGACGTCGCCCTCACAGGAATTCCGAGTCGGAGAGCAGTCCATATCACTCGCAGGATGCCATGACCCGCAATGCCTCGCAGCCCGCTTTCCTCGCCGGCGATCATCAGAGTTTGCCCAAAAACGGATCCGTGCCTTCGTTCAACACGCGGGTAAGAAAAACCTCTGCCTCTGAACGCTATCAGCCTTCATTGGCCGCCATCAGAGCCTCTTCTCGGGGTGACTTGGAGGCAGGAGCTGGCGGCGATTTCGTCTCGTCCAAGCTGTCTCTCTCACAGAGGCAAGGCGGCAGTCAGTCGGGCAGCAGCGGCAGGATGGTCCGACCCATGTCTCGTAAGGATATCTTCTACTCGGGTTCCGTCACGAACCTGCCTCAATATCAATCCCAGAAGTCCCTAACCAACTACAGGAATTCGGTTCTTTCGCTGACAAAATACGAGAAAAGCATGCAGAGTGTGGCCAAGTTGGATCCCTTGGCTGAGGCAGAGAAACACCGTGAGGAGTACGACTTGTGCCCCTGCCTGGGTATTCCCGATTCCGTTAAATCTGTGGTCAACACAATGTTGGATGTGAGTTTGCTGAAGGATCCTGTCTTCATGATGATAGGAGTCTCGAATATTTTCGGCATGGCCGGGCTGTACGTGCCTTTTGTCTACCTGGTGGATGCGGCACAGGAACATGATGTACCCAAGAGTGATGCCACCATGCTGCTGTCCATCATCGGCATCACCAATACAGTGGGTCGTGTTTTCTGCGGATGGGTGGCGGATCTGCCCCAGGTCAACTCGTTGCTGCTCAACAATTGCTGCCTTGTTGTGTCCACCATAGCCGTGAGCTTGACTCCATTGTGCTATAGCTACTCGGCCTACATAACCATGTCGATATTCTTCGGACTGGCCATCTCGGGATACATCTCGCTGACGTCAATTATCCTGGTCGACCTACTCGGCCTGGACAAACTAACAAATGCCTTTGGACTGCTGATCCTGTTCAGAGGATTCGCCGCCTTGATCGGAACGCCTTTGGCGGGAGCCATCTACGATATGACACAGACATACGACCTGCCCTTTTACATGGCCGGTGCCTTGTTCGGAATCTCTACGATAACCAGTTTCCTGGCGCCCTTCCTGAAGCGATGCAGTCCATCCGAAGAGACTCCCGTGCATGTGGAGACACTCACGCCCATCGACGAGGAACAAGGCGAGGATGCAGAGGACGAGGACGAGGATCAGCCCATCACCATAGTGCCCAAGATCATCAAGACGCTGGCGAGTCCACAGCAAGAGGAGGGACATCCACAGTTCCCCCAGAAGACAAACGAATCGAAGCTCTAAGTGGGATCAGTTGAGGATAAGATGAATTTACAGGAGACATTGCGGGGCTCAAGAGGATCCGGTGAGATATTTTTCTATTTACTTATACAGCAGAGGAGGAGATCTGAGATCGAGCACACCTATATACAAAGCGGAGAAGACGGATATATATATAAAGCCAGCCCCATACCATATATATATACATATACCTTTAAGCCTAAGCAACAGCCGGGGGGATGAGATGAAGAAAAAGGAAAATCCACTTTTCTACCAAGATAACTCAGCTTAGCTTGCGATAAGATATAGAAGAAAAACCTTCGGCTATATATACACTATAGTACGCTCATAAATTACCGATCGAAAACTGATACCGATCGCTGGTAGATTGCAACTGTTATACAGCAACCACAAAATATTGTAAAGTAACCTCTATTATTATTTGTTTGTTAAACCCTACGATTACTATGATTACCATTATGATTACTATTAAAGATTATTGTGTACTACTATAACATAGTTGTTGGCCAGGCGTTAGAAATGTGTCATACCGTAGAGATGTGCTATATGCGATATAGCGATATATAGCGTGTGTGTAAACTGTTAACTGTAATCTGTAGCTAAGTAGAAGAGGCCCCATTAACTTAAACAACAACAAACAGCGGCGACAGCAGCAACTATTTCGAAAACTAATAAATTGTATATTTTTTAAGAAGAAACGCTACACACAGAACTCAAAACAAGAGCGAAAAGAACACAAATGAACCGCATTAAGAACTAAAATTGTTTTCAATTTTACACTCATCATTTAGGTGGCTAACACAAAATACAAATTTACGGCTCATTTTTGTAAGTTATTAACTAAACTAAACTCAAGTCCAGCAACAGAAAAACCAAAAGTTAATACATTTTTAAGGCTTGTGTGTGTCTGTTTTTAAGCTATCCAAGTAAATAGCCTAGTAGCTACGAACCATAAGCAATACGGCAAGTGCAGTTCTATACAAACTAAATTGTTCACGCGGCTAACTAACTAACTAATTAAACAGTATCAAATATGTACCACAAGAAATATTCTAAATCTGTTATACGCATAAGGACAGGAGCAACAACAAGTGAACGAGAGGGTAACACATCAAATAAACATTTAGAACAATAAGTGTTGAAGGAATGAGAAAAGCAGCCAGAATATGTTAGTAATAAAAGAAATTGCCATACATTTTAAAAACTGTCAAAACAAATGTTTTTTCGACGATTCATCGAAGGGGGAAAAGGGGTTAAAGGGGTAAGTAACTCTACATTTGCGACCTTCGCTATGTTCGGCTAACAGAACAACAAACATGGATTCCAGGTCTATTTGAATAAGTACTTGTATCAAGAGGCAACTCGTGAAAGCCTTAGCTTCCAGGGTAGCGCGTGGCGCTCTAAAAACCATCGATCAAAAGTTCGCCTTGGACTTAAAATATTGCGTTTGTCAGTATCAGTGAATTTGAAAATCAGATCATAACGTGCTTACTCGTAAAACCCTCGCCCCAAATGATTAGCCTAATCAATGTGCCACAGGGGAGTTATGGCTGCACTTGAGCAACACTACTAATTGCGGGGACCAAGGGAGTAGTATCGCCTATCAATATAGTCTTTGGGCAAACACTTGCCGGTATCGCTGTATTAAAACCCGTCTAGAACGCCAAGTGCTTCGAAAACAGCCATAAAAGGAAAACCTCTCCACGGAGCTCTGCCAGACACAGATACTGATATGGGGTAAGAACCAACTGGAGTCCAATCAGGCTGCATTGTCAAGACCTCTTACATTACGTGTGTGGTTTCTAACTGCTCCATGTGCATTCAAGCCCAATAGCTAATAAAAATAACACTTAAATATCAATGAAACAATCATAAATCAATCAAAATCGTGTAATCTGCTGTGTGAGTTGAGTTTCAGGCGAAATCAAGGAAATCTTCATAATTGCCTATTATAAATAAGCAATTTATCGCTTTCTATTAACGGAACTAAGAATACAAATAGAATGCTACTATAACCCATACATTATATTTCTACTTGTGAAAAATAATGACTCCTATAAAATGAGCAATTCGAAGTAATTAAATTTTTAATTGAGTATTATTTTATTTTCAATTAATAGGCCTAACAATGTGTTACTCATTCGAGGAATTATTAACCAATCCGTCAAATTTTATGAATTTATTATTCTCAGTGAACATATTTTCCCCTCCACCAACTCTCCATTTAACAAGAACAACTTAAATAAGTAAAAGTTAAACAGAACTGCAAACTTTTAGTGTATATCATCCGTGCCCACTTGGCCTATTGTCTATCAATTAGGCATGACACGAAGGGAGTTGCTACGGCGAATCCCTTGGCCCGGCCACATGACACACTCAATTACGATTCGTATGCAAGTGGTCAAGAGACGAGTACTCCGGCTTTTCCACTCGGACCTGTCCGTCTGTTCGATTGATAAGCGTGAACAATGCACACAACAAACGGGCAAAAAAATAATAACAAAGAATTGGACGGAAGCCACTTGAGTTGCTGATTAGAGAGTAGAGGATTTGCTGGGCGAATGGGTGTCTCTGTGGCTGATTGGGCGCAACTAAGTGGTCAGCAAGTTCAACACCTGTTGGAGGCTCCACGGGGAGTGAGTAAAACCCAAAGCGAAAAAATCCCATCCGAAAACCATTGGATGGCTGGCAACAAGACAGACCAAATAATTAAGGCTCAGAAACTATGACAAAATGTGTTGACATCAACTTTGCTCCCCAGAGGCTTTTCAGGTATATATGTCATGTGACACCCGAGAAGAGTGTAAGCCAAGGGGAGAGAATATAGTAAAAGAGAGCGTGGAAAGGCAAAAGTAAGCAAAAACTGCATATATACACGGGGCCAGTCGACGATATCGAAGGCACGCCATGACGAATTCCAAAACACAACATGGAAAATGCCATTAAATATGTGTAGAGCACCACGAAGCCCAGATACTCTGGACATCACTTCGGTGTAAAGTCCACAAAATACTCCTATTGGCTTTATCGGGGCCTCGTTCCAAAACAATAACAAGATAAATCGAAAGTTCTTTTATAGTACCGATAGAGTGGTCGGCTATTAAAATCTATTAACTGAAGCTTCCCCTAGTAGACTATAGAGCAGAATGGAAGTACAGAATGGGTAATAATGAAAAATATATCATAGTTCTAATTTAAGGAAATCTTTAAAATAATTTTGTTTTAAATATTAACAGGAAGTTTAAAAAACTTATAAAAATGTAAAACTCTTAAAGAGAAGGTTGTTAAAGTGACAACAAACAAAACATACTACTATCATCGTCAGACGATCCCCAATCTGATAATTCAAGAAAAGTCATTGACCCACAACAAAAAGATAATTCTAATGCTGGTGATTCAGCCAAAGTGGAAATTATACATTATACAACTGCCGTTCAAAGTTGAATAAATTATTCATTATTATCAACTGGCATCTTTTGAAATGAGATTATAAGCGGCAATATGAGAAAATGGGAGATTAATTTGCAATTTAGTTTGAATTATCATTTTCAATTCCCAAATGAATCACTAATCAATATTGGGCACAAGCACTCACCTATTTGCTCCTGGTGCGGTTGTTGCTGCTGAGGAGTGGGTGTTGGTGGTTGTGGAGGTTGAGGTTGAACCATCTGGGCCGGTTGTTCGATTAAAACCGGTGATGTTTGCTGCAAGATGTGATGCGGCGGGGGCAGCAGAGCTGGCTGAACGCCATCCGGTGGCAAGGGCATGGCAGTAGTCCAGGCCACCGGAATAGCGCCAGGTGGCGGAGCTCCGCATTCAGCGAGTTCGTCCTCGTACTATGGACAATAAGAAATAATTATTAATGCTACGGTCTTATATTATAGAAGATCTCATTCAGTTTTCACTATTGATTGTTCTGTGAAAACCGAACTAGGCCTGGTTTTGTGCCAGGCACACTCACCTGTGGCACGGGACCCGCTCCTGGATGAATTGGCTGCAGGGCGGCAATTTGACCATCTTCGTAGATCTGCATCACGCCCATATGGTGCTGCATTTCGTGGATCTGCGATTCGTAGATTGGGTAACTCGGACTGAGCATGCTCGACGTCTCCGAGGAGGGCAGAGAAGCGCTGTTGTGGTTGAGCTCATCGCCCACATTAGCTACTCCTCCATTGGGATTTACACCCACCTGTTGCTGCTGCTGTTGTTGCTGCTGGAGAGCTTCAAAATCCTCGGCGTACATTGGGGGAGCCGAGTGCCAGATCTGGGTCATTCCACCATCGGGCTGACCGACACGTTCATCCACTCCAGGCTGGCCAGCGTCTTCCGACACATACTGATATTCAGCCGGATGCATCATAGGGTAGATGTACCCACCTGGATTAAACCATGCAGGATTGCACATAACCGGTCCGGAGAAGAACAGCGGTGTTCCAGTCGCCTGCTGGGCTGCTGTGGGATTCGGAGGAGGCAAGCTCGCATGCTGCGGTGTGAAGTAGGGCGGGGGATACCCGTACGAGTAGGTAGGTGGGGCAGCATAGTACTGCTGCAAGTGCTGCATATGCGCCTCCGGCGGCGGCAGCTGTTGAGCCATCTGATCTGGCTGAAGTTGAAGTCCAGGAGTGGCTCCATCTTGAGGCGGCAGTTGCTGCTGCGGGGGCAGAGTGATGAGTTGCTGCTGCTGCTGCTGCAGATGACGTGGCCCATGGTAGTTATTGCGTCGCAGACCACCACTACCATCACGGCCACGTGCGCGTCCTCGTCCGCGTCCACCACCCATGCCGGGTGTGTGAGGATTCGGAGATCCGCCCTGGGGCGTCAAGTTAATGGGCACAGGCACAGGCATATGCGGCATAACGGCATTGCCCTGGAAGAGTTAAAAAGTCAGGAAATTAGTAATTTAGAACATTTTTAGTTTCTAACTTTAGTCCACTTAGCTATAGACCCAAACGTTCGATATTTTCTAAGTGTCTGCTGTTCCTACCTGTTCTTGGGGCATATCGCCGTGTCCAATATAGTGGTGCTGACCTCCAGCCGGCATGTAAGTCGGAACTCCGTGCGGCCAGCCATGCAGGTTGACATTGGCAGTGACGTTGTTCACGTAGACGTGGTTGCTGGGCATCTGGGGTATCATGGTCGGATAATGGGCTCCAGTGTGCGGGTGTCCGTGGGCAGACATGTATACGTGTGGATTGTACATGGGCTGTCCGGCCGGAGTAAAGGCCTGCACAGGCGTCAGCACGTTGTTGTTCCCGGTGGGCGAGACCAAGGTCGTGTTGTTGTTATTATTGTTGCTGCTGCTGCCGCCAGTCGGCTGAGGCGTCGACGGTGTGGATATGGGCGTGGCTGATCCCCCGCCTGCTCCGGAGGATCCTGCCGCCGTGGTAGCCGGCGTCGAAGTGGACGGCGCTGCCTGCTGCTGCGGCTGCGTTTGCTGTGCCATGGCCAAAAAGCCAAAAGTGCGGAACTTGGCTCAGATCCTGATTGGTTCTAATAACGGCTTAAATGAGTCTCAAGAGTCGCAGCAGGCGTCAAACATTGAAATTGTTGTTTGCTGTTCCGAATGAGAGGCAGAAACAATTAACATCAGTGGTACAATTAGAGAATAATGAAAAATAATAGATACTTAAATAAATGATCAGACGTTGCTCAGGAATAAGGGAAAGCCCATATAAGTCCAATGGATTAGTTAAGGAATGATTAAATGAACAGATAAGTGACATAAAATGCAGCTGTTGGGTTCTATACGTCCAAATAATTTCTTAGATCAACTTAATTAGATTTAAATTAAAAATTACCTAAACAACAAAATATAACAAAACTAGAATATGAATCATAGCAGGTGTTCCATTCTCTACACAACTATTATTAAATACACAAAGTAGGTGAATAAGTTAGCCACATCTGCGGGCTGCAAAGCACATTTTACACTTCTTTTTTTTTTTTTGACACGGGTTAAATTCTAATTGAATGCGATTTTCAATTCACGCCACTCCGCGTGCCGCAGCCACGCAAGCGATCTGGCAACTCCCAGCTGCTGTCGGTGTTATAAGTAAATCAAATAAACAGAGCAAAAGAGACGGATAGCACAGATGGAGACTTGGTAGAAGGGGTTGACAAAAGAGCAGACACATCAAAAAATCCATATTAATCCAAACAAAACTAACTGCATGCGATTATAATCCGTATTTTCTGCTCAATTTTGTGGTGCCACACGCCGCCCGCTAGAGATGGGCAATCGCAACTATTTGCCGGCTCACGAAAATATCGACTACGAATGTAACAGGTTCAAAGTGCTAGTTTTATGGAATTAGTTGGTTTGAATGGGGAAATGGGGAGGAACACTAATAATGGTTAAGTAGTTTAAGGTGTTTTTGAAAGTTCTTTATCCCGTAATTGTTTTGTGTGTGATTTCATGGTTCTTCGGCAGTTGAAATTACTCATCTCTGCCAAACACAACCACACACAGACAGGAACGCACACACACACTCGAATGGAGGCAGGGCAAATGAAAGAAATTGGAAAATAACTTTTGCTGGAAGTAAAAGCTTAGGATTGTCGAGTATTTTCTAGGGTTAGGGGAGTTATTGGATGCCAGTGTTTATGAAAATGGAGCCAATCGGGGTTCGATGTTAGTTCTTGATAATTGTAAGGGTGGGGAGACGACTTGATCGAACGTACCTTTTGTTGAGTGGCCAATTGAAATCAATTTTGCAATTTGATCATATTTTATGCGTGCGGCAATCTCTCTTTCCTCGCTCTCTCTCTCTTCTATCGCGCTCTCTCTCTCTCTTTCTCCGCGCGGTGCCACGATAATTCCGCAACTTTTTACACGCTGCCTGCTCCAAATTCTGCTCCAACAAATTACCACGAATCAAGCACTTTCGCGGGTCTACAGGTCACGGGGCACGGGCGAGAGGTCACCGGTTAACACGGCACTCACTCTCTTCGTTGGCGATCCCTTTTTTGTTGCTGCGGGCCACAAACGTTTTACTTTATTGTTCTTTATTTTTCGACCGAAAAACCTTCCTGCTGCCAGGGTTATCGCACATCGATGACAGTGCGATAATTAGCGGTGTTTCTTATCGATTGGCAGTGTGGCCACTCTATTTAAAATCGAAGTGACTCGGGTGGGAGCGCTGCGCTTATTAGGCGCGCAAATTCAAATATCAGGCTGGAGTCTACAGCTTTAAAAACCACCAACCTGAAAATGAAATTTAATGAATTTATTCGTAAAAAACAGCTTATATAATATTTCTGTTACACAAAGGCAATAGCTAGTTAGTAAAACACAAAATCAATTTAATAGACACACATTGTTTGCTTTTATTTATGCAATATTAATCATGCAATGAACAATATTACAAAATTCGCCGCACATCAACAGGGTTTCTTTGCCCGCCTTCTATTAAAACTAACTCCATCATTTCGAATTTTCGGGCTCTGCGGGGTTATCAACACTTATGGAACGAGAAACTTTGTAATTGCTGGCTTACAAATAAACACTCAGATATATAATCGTATAGGTACTTGTAATGTGGGGAATAACACTGAGAGCGTAAAACTAATTATGTGTATCGAACATAATCCGTGTTCCGATTGCTTTTCATTGACATGTTTTCTTTCGCTGTTGACCAATTTTGTAAATCAATTTGCTAATCAGTCTTTACTATAAGCTGATTGTACTTTTTACAGGGTATGCACAAGTCTGGCAATTTGTATTTGGCCTCGCCCTCGTATCTAGATCGTTGTGACTACACATCCTCGTAGAGATTAGCAATAACAGTAACCGATAAATAGTATTGATAACAACAGTACACCTATAAGAGCCTCGTGGCCCAGGATATAGGCGCTGTAATAACGTGATATTTCTCATATTCTAACAATAGGAAGACTAGTGCCGACAGCTGCGAATGAAATAATATTTTTTGCATATGTTCAGTATTTGCAAAACCTATATTTTAATCGCAACTGCAGTTAAATGTTTAATAACATCAGTTAATCCAATTAATAGACATCGTTGAAGATTCGTTAGTTGATTGCTTAGGCCCGAGGCAACACAGAGATAATTGCTGGTATAATATATATATATAACACTTATCTAGGTACGATCTAGGGGTTATAAAAATAAACGACACACACGCACAAAAATACATATACAAACATCAATCGAGTTGCTAAAGTAATTGTCGATGGCTGCTGGCTAAACGCTATGACGTGGGGTTATCCTTTCGATCCTAGGGATCATTGTCCTGGATTGTTTCGGTTGGAGGTGGATTAAGCGAAGGCGGAGGAGGCGTTGAAGGAACAGGTGGAGCAGGTGGAGGATCATGGGGCTCATCTGCATCCATCTCTATCTCGATGGAGTTCTCCCGCTCCGTAATCTCAGGCATTTTCAGGGAGAAGCTGCTCAGCTTTCGTTCTGCCGACCCCAAAGAGCTTTGCGAGTCGGCCTTCAGCAAGGTGGTTCTCCTTTCGTTGATGACCCTCAAGGAATCATACATCTGCTCATCCGCACTTCCACTTCCGCCATTTCCAGCCAATCCCCTTTCCATGGATCGTATGTAGAATACGGAATCATCCCGCTCGTTGGGTACTCCCTTTTTGGGTCTGTAGAACTGGCGCGAACTGTTACTCCTGTAGAGCGGATTGGCCACTGGCCTCTGATCCTCTTCCTGTTCGCTGCGGGCGATTGGCAAAAATCCAGGACGCGTCTTCTTCGGTGGCAAGCTGCTCGTATGGTGCTGCAGCTCGGTAATCTCCTCGTATGATGTCTTGGGCTGGGAGGTAGTCTCTTGCTCCTCCGACTGATCGAGACTCTCCTCGGGAACAGCTGGCTCCATGCTGGATTGTCCTGACAGCTGGCGCACCGGTGGCGGTGGCTCCGAGCACACGGACAGCTGGCTACTGTAAAGGAAATTAGGAATCTCAATACCGAGAACTCTTTCTTGGAAATCGGTTAGCGATTTGCGTCCTGGTTTCAGGAGCGATGGCTATATGGATAGAAGACTATATGGATAGATATATCATAGCAGGTGAACTTCTTGACTACACCTTCCCATGACTTTAATCCTACGAATTTTCTTACCGAAATTCCTTCTCCACGGAGGGCGTGGCCGATGGACCGGAGCTGTAGCGCTTGGGCGATCGCAGAATCGACTTGGGCATCACCTCTGGACTATGCAGATCCACTTGAACACGCCGAGATTCAATACTAGATGTTCGACTAGCGATGGACGCACAGCGAGCCGTCCAGCGGCCGCTATACGAGGAGTCCGACATCGTGGAGTTCCTGTGAGATTGACTTTTTAGATTTAGTTTAAGTCCTTGAGGAAGCTTTTTTCCAGAACTCACCGCCTGTGACCCAGAGGACTGCGACTGTGATCGCGAGCCTCCTCCTGCTCGATCGGTCTCTGCCTGGAGAGTACATGCCTCTTGGCGGTGTCCGACCTCTTGTTTCGCTCGCTGCGCTTCTCCGCCCCGGAACTGATGCCCAATCCTGGCGGTGGGTTGCTGCCGCCGTCGAAGGAGGAGGCCTGCCAGTAGACACGACTTGCAGCCGGAGGTTGGAGCAGAGAGCACTCCCTGGTGGCCCTTTGGATCAAGCTGGAGGAGTTGCTAATGATCCGTGCGGATGAAGAGGAGCCAGCTCCTCCTCCTCCGGCCGGATTAGAGCCCGATCCGGATCCAGGACGCACTTGGCGCACTCTACGCACACTGCTGCTCGAGGATTTGTGGTGGTGGTGCGAATGGCGATGGTGGTGGCGACGATGTCGGCGGTGCGAGCAATACAGTTCCCATTCCAACGGCGACAGTCGATTCAGTGAGAGCAAATTGTAGTAATTAGTGGTGGTCGGATGTTGGTGGTTTGTGGTATTGGTGGTGGTGGTGGTGGTGGTGGAGTTGGTGGTGTTGGCATGAGCATGAGATCCGGACAGATCCGGAGCGGAGCCAGCCCCTGAAAGGCGGCGCCACTGGTGACAGAAGCGATTGGATGCACTGAAGCGGGATGCGGATGCGGATTTCAAATATCAGATGTCGGATTTCAGATTTCAGATTTCAGATTGCGGAATGCGGAAAGCGAGAAGCGGGCGGTAAGAGCGAGAAACAGCCAATTGGATAAGTGAATTTCGATATATACATATATTGATTATGTTCCCAATGAGGTGTCCTTGCCCAATGACCCACAACCTTTACCTGAGTGACCTGGAGAACTTGACCAGTTCGGCGGTGAGTGCCTCGCGATCGAAGGGCTGCTGCGAATGTGAATGCGGATGCGGATGTGTGGCCGATATGCAGGCGGTCTGCGGTTGCTGGTGAGGATCGCCGGGCGAGGAGCGGAACACCCCGAAGTGCTGATCCCAACGGCTAGACTGGTACTGAGCCCCTGATATTTAAAGAGATTTGATTCTATATTACTGAGAATATGACTTCATTTACGAAGGTAGATTAGGTCAGAATAGGTCAAACTGATCTGTTTTACCGAAAACAAGTAAGGGCTTGCTGCTTACCCATTCCGCGTCGCTGAGATGCGGAGCTCCCTTGGTTGCTCCTCGAAGGATTCTTGCTGCTGCCGCCTCCTCCAGCTCGCAATCGAGCTGGAACGACCTTTGCGGCGGAGTCGCGGGCTTCGAAGGTCATCACGCAGGAGGCCACCACGATGAAGCCACCGAAGCCCATGACAATGGGGCCCACGTAGGCAAAGTTGTTCAGATGGAAGCCTTTCAGGTCGTTCTTGACTCGCACCGTGACATTGCCCCGCAATTCTGATCCCATCGAGAGGTGATCCGCGTAGTAGCCCAAAGTGGCCATTCCTGCGCCGAGGAGCATCAAAGTGAGGCCCAGAATCAAGGCTCGACAGGCGTGCCACAGGCACTTCGAGGACATCTTGCCCCGCACCACCTGAACGTTCCATGTGGCACCGGATGCAGGATGGGCTCGACGGAGGTTTCCCAGCGAGTGTTTCCTCTTGGTGGTGCCACCGCCACCGGAGCGACGTGACGGCATCGCAACGGCTCCTCAATTCCTTTGGCCTAGATCTGCTATCATCAATAGGGGATCTGGAAAATGAAGATAGGAGACATTACACTAGACTACAAATTATTTTATAACACCATGAATAAATGATAACTTGGTCAAATCTGGGTAAAAATATATTTTCATATAGAAAAGTTGCACTGAAAAAGATGAGCTTCCAGCGATGCTGCCACCTCCCCACCTGTTGTTCGAGGAAGGTCACCATGGGTGCGGTGCTCACGGCTGTTTGCCGAAGAGGAGGTGGAGTCCCGAAGCGGAGGAATTCAGAGGACGAGCTAACAAGGAGGGGACGCCGGACCACCGGTGCAACCTGCGAGTGCCGAACAATTAAAATCCAAGGCACAATGCCAGCGACAAGAATAGCTGAAGCGGCTGACAACCGCGTGACGGGGCTATGAGAATGGCCAGAAGAATGGCCGACACTCCTCCAAGGGCCCAGAGTCGGCTAAAGCCGCAATTAAAGCCAAACAAAACGCACGACAGTCAGATAACAAGGCCCACAATGTCCTCAGTGTCCTGTCCCCTGCTTCCACTTCCAACAAGTGCGGTGCTTGACACGCTTGCCACGCTTGCCTCGAGATCCTGCAGCTTCTTAAATTTAGACATATGTACATGCTGCGCTTCTCAGCAGGCACTTGGCCTAATTGCAGGGTGTCCCCAACTTACGAGGAGTGACGCTGAGAACTAATACGATTATGTCTTGAATATCTTAAAAATTGCATCCTTTAGTAAGGCAGGGAATGGGTAACATTTCGGTGTTAGCAGAAGAAATTAATATAAATCTAAAGTGACTTCAATATCTTGTAGCCGATCTCAACGAAGTTTGATGACCAATTCATGTTTTTCCTTAAAATCAGATATAAAACAACTTTTGAAAGATATACTTAGTACGAAACTCTGCTAAATCAGTTCTCTAGGACCCAAGGATAACAAGGTTCCTTGCAAATGAAATATGCATGCAAGCCAAATGCCACACTTTTGCATTTCATGTTTATTTCATTTTTCAAGCTCTTATTTTGCCGTAAACTTAGGTTTGCTTTCTGTCGCCTGACTTATTTTAAAGGTAAGTAGATTTATGGTTCCTTACTTTTAAAAATGCTATAAAAAAAGGCCTTAATTATATGTGATTCATTTGAATTTCGTCGGATTGACCTTTCGCTTTAATCATAACATATCAATGAACCTTTTTAAGTCACAAAGTACGATAGAATAAATGTCTATCTGTTAACCGAAAGTCCAAAGGATATTTTGCCTGATTTAATAAGACTTAAATGAAAAATAAACGCATGATTTAAATCAAAGTTATTGCTATCCTGCCAAAGTATCCTTGAAATCGGGACACTTCAGGGGAAAAAGGCTTTGTTTGCTGAGGGAGTCTAGGACGGCAGTCGACGGCTTACTTGTTGGTTCGTTCTTGGAATTCCTTGGCTGCTCCTGTTGATGTTAATGCTGGTCCTGCTGCTGCGAGAGCCTTTTGTGTGACCTAAAAGCAGATTTGCCTTCGCTCCGTCTGTATGTATACTGGCTTGTGCATATATTTTCGCGACTTTCTTTGTGCAAAACCCCACTCGTCATCGTAGTCGGTGGCTTCTGTGTCCTGGTGCCAGCATTGTAGCTCCTGCTCCTCCTGTGGCTGGATGCCAGGCGATTGCTAATTGGGAATTTGATTAATTTTCACAGGTGAAAACACTGGTTCCCGCAGGCTGTCTCTTCCCTCAACTCGAAACACTCGATTCTGGCAGCTGTGCGAGACGTCTGCACACGAGCAGCTTCCGCGCGCGTCTGATAAGACGAGGTCCGTCTGGAATCCATCCGAGATACCAGAGCCACAACAGAGTCAAATCATCCCTCGTTTAATCCACTATAGGGACTGCTGCAGATTGATCTAAAAGGACAGTGGGCACCCGCTTTCATTTCTTCTGTAGGAAGGGCTTACACTCAATAAGAAAGTGCTGAAAAGTATGCTACATAAATTTCTGGAACGTGTCCTTGGATCTTCGCTGCAACAATTTTATAATTTGAGGTTTGTGAGAATAAGAATCCACTGTGAAAATGAATAAGGTACGGGAAAGTAGGGAGGTCTTACTGTAAGCTGAATAAGTGCCGCCCTCTGGTGTACTTTTTCTATTATGGCACTGTATAAGTTCACCACTTTTCAGAGCGTCTTATACTTCGACTGCTTTAATCGACTGCTTGTGTGTTATATGTTCTCTTTCTAGGAATGGTGTTAAACCAGTAGTTCACTGCTTGGATTTAAACTGCTTCCTTCCTCTGCTTCTCGCATGCTAGAAAATATGTGGTCTGAGGACTACCGTTCAAAATATTTTGTTGCATACTTTTAAACAAAGATCTTAAAATGATTTTAAGACGAATAACTAACATTTTTCCAAGTGTGTAAAAAAGTTTATTTCGGTTTTTAATTGAATTTCTGATTTATATCAAATGTCATAATTTATCATTGTTTAAAATAATTCAAAAATGTTGCATTTTACTGATGTTTTAAGAAATTATTGTTCATTTTCACCCTGCCTTTGGTAGTTTTTCTATAGTGGTGTCCATCAGCAGCACTGCTTGAAACTGCTTTTCCCACACCGAATCCACCCACGCAGACACCCCAGCCTAACTCCGAAAGGTGAGTCCACCGAAACACACCACAAACCACCACAGAGGAGTAAAACTGAACGAAACGAGAACATGCGCAGATGAAATCCGAGAGAGAGCATCCTGTGGGGAAGCCGAGAAGAGGACGAACAGGACATTAAGAACACCCAGTTCCTCGACGCGACTTGGGTAACCAGTCATTGGCGAAGTCTTCAGGCGCGTTGACGTTCTTCGCGAAGAACCGGATGCCGAACCCCGATATCCCGATTTCGACCAAGTCGGTGTCGTCTATTGTACGTGATGCAGTTGAGCCCGTCCCAGCGACTTGCCTTCGTGACGGTCAATCTGAAGAATGCATGAGGATTAAGTCGCCTGCCAAATGCATTTCCCAGCCTCAGATCCAGCCTCGTGTCCTCGCTCCGTTCCCATGTGCATATTACAACCGGAAGTGTGCCAGCCAGTGAGTTCCGAAACAATGTGAATCTCGAAAATATTCTGAAATCGCAACGGCAACGGAAAGTGTAGTTCTTCGGGGTTTTCTTAACGATCGTTCCTAGAGCACATATTAAGCTAATCAATAAGGATATCCCTGCATTATGTGAATTAATCAAGTTGATATTTACGTGACTCCGTTCCCAACCGAAACCGAAACCCAAAAGGATGGAAAAAACAAATGGCTGAAGTGCGTGAGACGCCATAGGTGACCCCAAAAAAAAAGTTAAAGAAAGAGAAAAAAGCGGAGAAGTCGGCCATAAAGAAATCGAGTCCAATGCAGTTTGTTAGAGCCGACTACTCCAGATTGCAAAATGCGTTTGAATGAACCAGCTGAAAGGACGCGACCCAGAACTAAATCAACGACAGAAGCCTCCAAGCTCTCATCATCCTGGGGTGACCTTCACCTCGAATGTTCCATATACAACCTGATCAGGCTGCTCCTCCTCATCTCAACGATCATGGGCGGCGGATTTGTCCAGGCCAAGACCATCTACGACACCGTTAACCGGATTCAGGCTGCGGGTCCCTTGCTGGAGCCACAGGAAACATCGAAAGTTCCCCTGCAAACGACTGCTGGCACGCCCACTGCCGCCCACACCCACGTCTCCACGTTACGGAGTAGTTACGGTAGGCAAATTGCGAAATTGCTACTTGCAACTTTTGCAATGCGGTTAATGCATAATTATATAATTGGTTTTCAATTATCCTGCTGACTCAATTGCTTGCCATCCGTTGTCTGTGAAGTCCTGAGACGTCCAAAATACATTCCACAATTACACATATCCTTGGCTTTACGGCCAGATAGGACACCTCCTCCAGACACTGAAAGTTATGGTTGGAGAAAGGAGGTCACTGCTAGTGGGCTTACTTTGCTGCTCGCAGACAGGTCGCCTTTTCAGGAATAGTTTAGATTAGTTTAGTCACTGCTCGTGGCCCTGAACTTAATTACTCAATTTGGTTCCCTAAAATTCAAACCCTCATTGAATCAAATTTATTTGCACTTCAAAGGTTTCTAATTACAAAAGTCCGTATTTTGTGTAAGGGTCTACGAATTGTGAATCAAATTTGCCAATCTAAATTATTAACATTTAATATTTCTGTAATAATCGAATTCAGTTCAATCCCTACCTGGCTATAATCTTAACAATTCAGTGATGTAAATAACCATTTTATACATCCCCAACAAGATGTTAATATTTGTCAGCAGGAAAGACAATAATGTAGTTAGATGTTTTCATATTTAATTTATTCATAAACAGTCGAAATTGTCTGTCAAATAAAAGTTGTTACTCATAGTTAGGCAAACTAACTTTGGTTGAATGAAAATATAAACCTTTTTCCATAACCTTGACCGTATCAAACTCAAAACTCGTAATTTTCAAATCAGTAAAATAAAAATTGTGAAAACTTTGAAACCGTAAATTAGATTTCCGAGAGCAGAAGTTTAGCTTTGCCAAATATCAATACACCCGATGACTGGCAAAATATTTCTGCGTTTGCTTTTGGAGAATCAAACTAAACATTTGTCTAATCCCAGGAGGTTTCAGTGTACTCGCAACGAGCAAACAAACTGCCCCTCCCCCACACATGTCGGCCAACTTGGCATTAGAATATGAAGATACAGCTGCGTTAAAAAGAACTGGAAAGTAGTTATCTTAAAGCAGATTCCTGCGATAAAAACTCGTTTTATTTTATTTGTTAAGATATACCAGGATATATGGGAAGTTAAATACTTCTGATGAATGAATTATTAGTTGAAGGAGTAACACTAAAATGCGCCTTAAATTAAAGGTTTACTTCGGATTCCAATGCAGGGCAAATATTCAGAAATATATTCATAGCTGTATTTATGCAAAGATCTATACAGTATAGTATGGAACTTGAAGTTCATAAGTTAAAGAATTTATTTATAAAAGAATATCCATGAACTATCTCTTACTTTAGTTCTTTTTAACTGCTTTTAATGAAGTGAAAAAGTTATAATTATATAAGAAAGATCTAGCAGAACGTAAGCTTTAAAAGGCAATAAATCTTATGAATTGACCCTGCCCCAGTACTATTGCCATGAACCCTGCTGTATGCACACTTGAGTCGTTGAGCCATGTCATCATTTCTCAAATTTCGCCCACATCTCCTCTATTTCTCCCACAAAACCAAAACCTAGATTCGAGTGAAATCGATAACTCCTTACCAGAGGATTCGGATAATGGTGCGGCTGAGGATTACGTCATCCCAGATGGTCAGACATCCCCAGTGGCGATCCTGGAACAGGACAATACAGCCAAGGTCCGCGATCTGGAGTCTTTATCCCTGCAGGCAGGATCGGGCACAGTTTCTCCGAAGGCAAATCTCGATTCTGCCGGACGGAAGAACTCCTCCTTCCAGCAGATCGGCAGCCAGAATGTAAATGCCTTAGTGCCGCCCACAGTGGCCACCACATTGTCCGGCAGCTCGTCTAGTGCCAACGCCTCCGCATCCTCCTTGGCCACTCCCACTGAGCCGGCAAGGAACCGGAGCACCGGCCATGTCCGCAACTCCGCCGTCAAGGTGGACAGCAAGCATCCACTCTCAAAGGGCCAGAAAACGGATGCACCCATGCTGAACTACATCTTCGACACGTTCTCGTCGGCCAACAAGCATCACCATCACGATCAGAGGTGAGTTGGGTAACCTCTAAAGGGATTAGGACATATATATCTTTCAGTTAATTTGGATAAAAGTATTATTGTTTAGAATTTGACTTGATTTGATTTGCTTATAATTTTTTTATTGCCTAATTTTCGTAACTTTTTTTTCTCTGCAGATATGGCCCCCACTTCGAAGATGTGCAGCGTGTTGGTCAGGCCACCAATCTCACCGTTCAGGCGGGCTCCAGCATCCACCTAAACTGCCGAATATCTCTACTGCAGGATAAGACTGTAAGTAGTAAACTAAATTTAAAATTAACATAAATTTATAAGTTTAAAATGAATGTCTATTACTTTAACAGAGGGCAACTATTCTAAGAGTGTTTCAAATTATGTATGCTACTTATTAAGTCTTTCTGAATTTCAAAGAATCTTATTTTTGTGACCTTCTCGACATCCTCTAAAAACCAGGTCTCTTGGGTGCGCCACAACACGCAGGATGAGGGTAACGCCCTGGACCTGCTCACAGTGGGCATGCACACTTACACGGGTGATAAGCGCTACAAAATGGAGTTCCAGTACCCCAACAACTGGCGACTGAAGATAACCAACGTGAAGAAGGACGACGAGGCCATATACGAGTGCCAGATCTCAACCCATCCGCCCCGTGTCATTCAAATCAATCTGCATGTGAACGGTGAGTACTGAGCTCTATGATTTGACAGGGAACGGATTTCAAAAATAACTATTACATAGCTCCTAAAGTGATGATAGTGGACGAGGTGGGGGATCCGCTGCAGGAGAAATACTACGAGATCGACTCCACCCTGCAGCTGTCCTGTGTGGTGCGAAATGTGGCCATGACGAGTTCTGTGGTCTTTTGGAAGCACATCGACAACGTCCTCAACTACGACGTAACTCGAGGGGGAGTGAAGTGAGTGTTTGCTCCAGTTTCCTGGGACTTTGAATTCCATAACATCCCGAATCCCTTTCAGCGTCAAAACAGAACTGATGGAGGATGGAGCCAACTCGACGCTCTCGATAGCGAAGATCAGCAAAACGGATTCCGGCAACTACACGTGCTCCATCAGCGAGTTCCAGAACTTCACCATTGTGGTTCACATTCTGAATGGTGAGTTGGGAATACGAAAATATTGATCCTTCGATGAACCTACATCTCATTCCAGGCGAAAGCTTTGCCGAGCTGCATCATGGAGGAGCGGGTGGGATGGCAACCACGTGGTGGAGTCGGGTGATGATACATTTAATGGCACTCCTCGTGCTAAGTAGCTTAAGGGGGGAGTTTAGCTAAGGTTCCCGGTTATTTTCAGTAGGTTAAGTGGGAGTAAGCAAATTGAGATAACATCGTTTTTCCTGTAGCACTTTTTGTTGATTAATTGTAAAGATTCTTAATTGGATAGGGCAGTTATTAGAAATAACTAAAAACGCAGCCTAAGTTTAACTGGCTATTATAGATATGTTTCTACGTCTATCATCAAATTGTACATGAGCAGGCACGCCTAGGAATAAGTTAAAGTTAAGCTTAAGTGTATGGAAAGATTAAAGACAGAGAGAGAGGCCAACGAATTTCCCTAGCAGAATGAAAGAGACATTACGGGCTGGCCTAGATCTAGTTGATACAGGAATGTAAAGCATAGTGTAATCTAAGTCACTACAAGTTCATTATCACAAGCTTTGGCGGCAAGGATCTGAACTCCTGTGGGAACTACTCAATGTTGAACTATTATAAAGTGCAATACGGTCATATACATATTATATACATACACACACACACACGAAAGGAAGCATTGGTCAAATGATATGTTAATAAACGAGTACTCGTATGTATGCAATAATAAAGTGAACTATAAATGAATGCAAACTGAAATAAAATTTGAAAATCGATAGTTGGTTCCCTGTGCTCATATATCGATAGACAGATTATCGGAGGGCTGCCAGACTTGAATTCATTTTGAATTGCTTTTATAATTTAAACATATTTTAACAATAATAACTATTTTTATTTTCAGCACCAATATTCAAACACATACAAAATTTAATTTACTATTACTATGATAATGCGCTGTTTGCTATATACAATAAGACATATGCTGGAGTACTTAAATTATTTTTAATCAGCGCAGAACATATGTATGTACATATATAAATTCACATGTTCATTGAAAGTTCAAGGAGATTAGACTACGGAGCTTGGTGCAAAATACACTCATAATACCTTTAATCTAATCTTCAAGACCATTCGTTTTCCCTTATATTTTATAAAAATAAACAAACGAAGATTTTGGGTCTAAGAATAGGCCAGCATAAAGCAAGACACTGAGACATCATAGAGATAGTAACAGACTTTAAAAATATTTACAGTTTGGACTTGGTTTTACGGCTAGCAAAGTCCATAATCGCCTGGAAAAATTCGGGATGCTGGAACTGCTGTAGCAGCTGTTTGCACTCCGCGTCATTGGCTTTGATCAGATTCTCCAGGAATCCCTCTTTAACAAGGCGTTTTCCTTGCAAAAGAGAGTTTGTGGGTAGCTCGGAATACTGACGAAGTTTGGGCCAAACCACAGAATCCAATTCGCTGTTCTTAAAAATACGTGACACAAAGTTAAACTGATAGGCCTCCTGGGCGCTAAGGGGTTCATTGAGAAGCAGGACCTCCGAGGCTTTGGAACGGCCCAAAATCAATGGCAGCATGTAGGAAGAACCACCTTCTGGCACAAGACCCAATTTGGTGAACGGGGTATAAAAATAGGCCTATAATGACATTTATTGGTGAAACATTGGGTAATATCGTAAGAAACCCAAAACTCACGGTTTCGGAGCACCAGGCCACATCGCACAATCCTACGATGGTGGCTCCAATTCCTATTGCCGGACCGTTTACCAGGGAAAATACTATCTTCTTACAGTTCACAAAACTCAGTACCATGGCCTTCAAGTAGAAATTAATCAAAATCTTTCGGTATCTAAATGTCAGACATATCGTACCTTGAACGTTGCATTGGATTGCTTGAAGAAGGCGTCGATGTCTTCGCTCTGGGAGGACTGAGATAAGTCGTTTCCGGCCGTAAAAAAATCGCCAACACCAGTGAAAACCACTAGGTTCACACCGTCATCGCCGTTGACCTCGGTCAACACACGGGTCATCTCCTGGTAGGCGAACCTGTTGATGCAGTTCTTCTTTTTCGGATTGTTGAACTTCACCACCAGCACTTTGCCCTGCTGCTCCACTAGCAATTGTTGGTATCCTTGGTACGACATCTTCACGGAAAAGTTCGGCTAGAATGAATGGCAAAGTCCGATTAGGGGATCATTTAACTTTGATTGCCGGTGTTTATTGTTGTTAATTTCATCCGATTACTGATTATCAGGGGTACTCCCTTGCATAATAATTGATAAGCAAAATGGTGTGCGATAGTTGGTGAACTGTTCGCTATGATAAGAAGTAAATGATTGCGGTTCTTTAATTTAAAATAAAATGTTCTAATTTATTCAAATTTAGATGAACAAATATAAAAATATTATTCGGATCATAATACACACTATAACAATCTCACGAATAAAATCACAAAAATACAGCTACGCCCCACCATGTTGATCTGGCAACTCCGGAATAAGGCGCCTAATTCATAACACCACCAAAAATGAAAAAAAAACTTTAGTTTTATTTTTCTTTTCTGTACAACATTGATCTTATTATTGGTTATTCACTAATTTCATCGATCACGGGCACATTTTGCAGTTCAGAGCACTTTCGTTTCCATAAGGCAAGTTGTTCCCTCAATACTTTTTCTTTAGCGGCAGCTCGGGTCAAAAGGACTTTCGCCTTCTGCAGGAGTTGCGTCTTTTTCAGTAATTGCTCCTTGATGAACTTAAGCTCCTCGTTGGCAGCGTCCTTTTAGAAGTTCAGGTCATTACAATTATATATATATAAATTCCTATAGAATATTACGATCTCCTTACCTTACTACGTCCGCCGCATTGGCTACACTTGGTTCGCTTTTGCAGCTCCTGCTGTAGAGCGCTAATCTTCTCCAGAGCCTCTGCATTTTGCTGCTGCAATCGCGTGGCATCTGCCGGTGTGGAATCCGTAGAGCTTCTGGACTCTGTGGAACGTCGACCGTCCTTCAGAAACTTATTCTCGGAACGCAACTTCTCTACGAGATTGCGCAGGGACAAAATTGTCTGTTCCGCCGATTGACCCTGATTGGTGTTCATTTTAAGGCCACTGCACTTGCACAATTCTCGACGCGATTCATTGCGAGCCATCTCCTCCTTCAGGGCGATGATGTAGCTGAAAAAATGGGACTGTGAAGTCTACATCTCCAAAACGAAACCATTTTACTCACTCCTCCAAGTGCTTGATCCTCTTCTGCAGGCGATCGCTACTGTCTCCCTGCCTCAAGAGATCTGAGTCCAACTGCAGTTGGAGGTTTCTGGCCTCAAGTCGTATGTTTTGGGCCTCAATGGCCTGGCTTCGTTCCTGCAACTTTTCCATCTCTGTGGTCAAAGCATTGCTGCCCCTGCCCTCCAGCTCCATGGCAATAATCTTGCGCTGCTGTAGTTCTATGCGGGATTTAAGGGCCTCTATAAGGTCCACCTGACTTTGGTCAAACATCTGAGGATGATGATGCGCTGGGGAACTGCACTCGCTGCTGGGACCCGTATAAGTTTCAGGACTTTCGGAAGGTGAGGGCGTGAACTTATTGACACCCACATGCTGGAGATTCGGACAGGATGGGGTTCGGCAGCATTTGAGGTTGTTACCACCAGAGCCATTACTCGGGGGACCGCTCCTGCCCAGCTTGGACTCCAGGATTTGCTTGTCCTTTTCCAAACGGGCAATGGTGGTGCGTGCTGCTTGCAGGAGAGCTCGGGTCTTATCCAGTGCCAGCTCAGTTTCCTCTAATCTGGTCTTGGTCTTCTCCGCCTGCTGTTGATACCTTTTTTGCTTTTCCCAGAGTTGGACCTCATTGGCACTCCTCGTGCGTTTGGCCTCCAAAAGGGTTTGCTGTCGTTGCAACTGGCCACGTGCCTCATCCAGATCCATTTCCAGCTGCTGGATTCTCTTCTGTTGGTTCTCGTTCTTCACCCGTGCATTCAGTTCAGTCTTTATAGACACCACCGGACGTTTGAGTAGCTGCTGGCGCAATGATTGACTGAGATCCCTGGCTTGTTTTTCGCGCTGAGTGACATTTGTCAACTGGCGACGAAGTGCCTCCATTTGGGTGTGATAGATCTTGTTGGTGGCCTCGGTTCGGTTGAGATCGGCAGCCAGTTTGGCTATCTGATCCTCTGAGAAATTGGAAGTGTCTTTGATATAGCGCTGTTGGTCGTCCTGGAAGAGCAGATTCAATATAAGAATAAGGATAAATAAGGTAGGTTTCAATATTTACATGGAAGTTCTTAAGAGTATCCATCAGATCCTTAATATGCTTATCTTTCTCATCCAGAAAGACGCGAAGCTGATCCAGTTCTGGATTAAGATTGCTTTCAACAGATTTTTCCCGCTCTTGGCAGAGTTTTAACCTGTTTTTTAATGATTATTAAATTTAATAATATGCCTTATAACTTAATACCTGCCTTATAACTTACTTTTCCTTTAATATCTCCAACTCCTCTTCTCTACTTTTTAAATTCTTTTCGCTGTACTCTAGCTTATCCTTGAAATCCTTGATTTGCTTGTGCAGCGTAGACACTTCCTTGAGCTCCTCTGTGTCTTGCTTTTCCTCCTCACACTCCTGCTCTTCAGTTTCGGGGTCCTCAGGACCGGTATGAGCTTCAACTTCTTCTTGAGGTCTCTCCACCGAGCTGCTTTCAAACAGTTCCTCGATCTTTTCATCGGTCAGCTCATTAACCGAGTTCTCGGAACTGGAATTCGAGACTGTCGACGTTATATGCTCTGGAACTGTTTTGGGCTTCTGCTCCAACTTCAACTTGAGCTCCTCAATTTCTGCATCCTTGGTCTTGATGTTGAAGTTTAGGTTGTTTACTGTGGCCCTAAGGGATTCAATTTCAGCTGCCTGCTTACTGATGGCTTGCTGATTCTGATCTCGCTCGGTCTGCAGAAGATCCTGGTACTTCTGTATGGACTGATCCTTCTCCAGGAGGAGTGTGTGGAATGACAGTATGGTTTTTTCCACCACTCCACTGTGAGGACTACTCTCGGACTCGCGGCTCACCGATCTAGAAGCCTCCAACTGCTTGCCGAGGACCTCGATGCGCTGATTTGCTTCCTGGAGGCTGTTAGGGAGTGTGATAACATTTATATAATGTATCCTTATAGCTAATGAATCATTAATTTAATGGGGGAACTTACGTTTCTTGCATTTTCTGTAGCTCCGCTTGGGAATCTCTCCTGCTGTCCTCCACTGCCTCCGCTGTCTGAACGGATTGATTCTGCTGGCTGAGTATGCCATTAGTTTGAACTGCCATCTCCGAGAGTTTAACTTGAGCCTCTAGAGTCTGGGTGGCAGAGTCCAGATGTGGATGCTTTCGGAGAGGCGATCCAATGGGTGAAGATTGCCTGTCAATTAACTGTGCTGCCCTTCTAATGGCCGGAATAGGAGTGATTAATGCTTCCGTGTTGGTTTCTGCATCCACTTTGGGTTCAATTTTGTGAGCTCCTTCTCCGAACAATGCCTGAATGGTGTTCCAATGTTCGGTGTCGGTGGCCTGTCTCATCTTCAATTCACCCAGTTCCCTGTGGAGCTCCTCCTGCTTTGCCTGCATGGTCTCACAACGCTGTTCCAGGAGCCTAGTTTGCGTTTCAGACTTTATAAGCTTCACCAGCTGCTGGGAAGTCTCCTCATTGGGTGCCATTTTGGCATGGACCAATGCGGTTACTTCATCAATAAAGGCAGAGTGATCTCTCTGCCCCTTCTGCACTTGCTCCTCCTCCAGCCGACGCTGGAACTTTTGGTAGGCGAACACAAAGTTGGTAAGGAAGACCAAAGGCGTGAATTTGGCATATTTATCCTTGAGCATAAACAAGGAATGCTGGAGGAATCTGAAAGATTTGATATTATACAGGATTATTATATGGATTCGATTATATAATCTGACATATACTTGTGCTTTATATCGCTATTAGTGCGCTCCTGCTGAAAGTCCTTATGGGCCTGCGTCAATGAGGTTTCGCTGGCCTCCAGTTGAGCTTGCAGGGAGTCCGCTTTCTGCTGCAGTTGCTCTCGCTCTGTTTCCAAGCGGGAGCACTCAGCTTTTACTGCAAAGTGGAATGACAATGAAAAATACAAAGTGTTGATTAGATTATAACCAGATTGGGCTTACCACTATCCAAGTCCCTCTGCACTTTAGCTAACATTAGCTTCTCGTCGGAACTGCTCTGTAGATCGGCAACCAAATGCCGTAAGCTGATGTGGTTGTCTGTGATCTCATTGAGAAGCCTTTGCTGGGAGTGAATCTAAAAGGAAGTTAAAAGTTAGGGCTTCTTTCAGTAATTTGACCTTGGAGGTCACCCACCTGTTCATTGGCTACTTGGAGAAGACCTTCCAACTGTTTGGTCTCCCTCTGCAGTTCCGCCTGTTTGCTTCTCCAATCTACCAACTCCTTCTGCTGCCTCTCAAAGTCCTCGGCTGTGATATAATCCAACTGATAGTTATCCTTGATAATACCATACTCTGCGCATATTTCCGAGGGCTTGAGCTCCCCCAGCATGTGCTCCACGGCCTGTCCAAGTTGCATGCTCAAAATGGCGTTACGTTGCTCCAACTTCTGGTGCTCGTCCGCGGTATAAAGGTTCCTACGTCTCAACTCCTCCAATTGCTCATTAGTTCCAAATAATTCACTCTTTTGCTGTTCCAACTGCTTGGATAGTAACGCCTTCTCCTCTATGAAGCTTAGTTCCTTTTTCCTAGTCTCAGTGAGCAATTGATCGAAATCCCTGCGCATATACCTATAGGAATTCCCCTGCTTTTCCAACTGCAATTCTAGTGTGATTACTTTATCATGGAGTTTTTGGTTTTGGTTCTTTAGTTCACTGCCATCGGCGGACATATGGAGACGCAGTTCCTCGTAATGTTTTCGGAGGATGTTTAATTCTGCCTGGACCTCGTTCCTAGGTTCCACTTCGGGATCTGGTATGATAGGTCTCTGTAAACCCTCCGTTGCTTCAGTGGGTGAGCTTGGTCTGGTGGCTGTATTAACACCGGGATCCTCCTCAATGGGTTGTTCCTCTGCAATCTCAGGGACATCGCAAAGGCTTTGGACAGAGGATAGTTCTCCTGTTTCCGAATCACTGCAGTTCTGCTGCTGGAGCAATTGCCGCAGTGCCTCTTCCCGGGCCTTTAGCTCTAAAAGTTGACCCTGAAGGCGCTGCGGAGTCGCCGTCCCGCTGGGAAGAGCTTCGATAAGGCGCCGCAGCAGATCTGAATCTATGGTGATATGCTCTGAGGTGGCTAAATGATTTTACATGGTAAGACATAAATGGATAAACCCGATTTAAATTAAATTTAAATTAATTCGTCAAGAACACGATGATTGACCAGAAATCTTTTTTTCTCACACTTACCATCGTATTCCCGAAGCTTCTCTAGAATCTCGTACATGCCAGATCGTAGTGTCTCGTTCTCTGCCAGCACTTCATCGTAGCGATTCTGCATTTCGGAGCTGGCTGCCCCATCGCCTTGCCCTCGTCTTGGTGAATTCTCCAAGGGAACACTGGCGGGTACCTCGCCCACTTCGCTGGGAGGCTGCAGAGACTCATCCAAGGCTGCGGGCTGCGTGGGATCCTTTTGAAGTTCCATGAGCTTTCGTCTGTGGAAAAGATAAGATATTAAATTTTATGGTAAGCGACTTACAAGAATTACTTCGAGCACGCACCTCAATTCACTCTTGTCCAACTTCAGTTGCAGACGCAGTTCCTCGGAAGTCCTTAGTTTAAGGGCAAGTCTTTCGATCTGCTTGTCCTTATTGCGCTGCTTGGAGTGAACGTTTTTGGCCAATATCACCACATCATCGGGGATGTTGAGTTGACGCCGCAACAGCTCGTTCTCCTGGACCACTTCATGAAGGGAGTTTAGTTCCTGGATGTAGCTCCTCAGCTGCTTATCACGGGCAGCTAGCTTCTGCTCCAGCCCGGAACATCGTCGCAGAGCTGGGGCCAAACCATCTTTGTCCTGTTTGTAGGACTCCAGCGCACTGAGAGCATGTAGTGCCTGCTTGGACTTGAGGACATTGTCCTGTTCAGCCGCCTCCAGCATTTCCGAGAGCTGCTGACTCCTGGCATTGGCCTCTCGGAGGCGTTCCTCGATCATCTGACAGCAGGCACGCGGCTGCTCGGGATCCTGAGAACGCTCCTTCTCCAAACACAATTGGTTCATGACCTTCGTGGAGCTAACCATCTCCTCCGCCATCGATTTAAGCCTTGCCTCCAACTTCTCGATGCGCTGCTCCCGGGATTCTAAGAGCTGCAATGGAACTTGTCAAGTTAATCTGAAAATTTTAAAACTTTAAAAATACCTACATGTCTTAGTTTAATATGATCCTCCTCCTGTTGACTCTGACTACTGGAAGAATTGGTCTGGACAGAGTGGATGCTTCTGCCCTCTAATTGTTTTCTGAGACGTTCCACCTCCTTGTCCCGATCATCGAGAGCCTGCCTCCATCCCAGAGACTTGGCCTCGTGCTTGTCCAGGAACTGGCGCATTTCCAGCTCCTGCTTTTCGCGCTCCACCTCGAGGAAGGTAACATTACCCTCAAGTCGTGTAATCTCAAGACCTTGCTGCTGCTCCTTTTGTTTTAGGGACTTGCGCTCCTGCTCGACTTTAGTGATGTCTTGACTTAGCTGCACTAGATTGGCCTTGATATTTTGCAGTTCTCGTTCGTGGAGTACAATGGTCTTGGATTGAGCTATGTTTTGGTTTTGAAGAGTCTAAAAAAAAATTGTTTTATTTTTTCAATTGAAGGAACACCCAAAAATCTGACTCACCTCGATTTCCTTTAGCAGTCTTTTAATGTGTTTGTTCTTGGAGTCAATGTTCTGTAACAGATGCTCCTGTTTGTCCAACTCCGACAAAGGATCCGACGAGTCCTTGTCGCTGACCTCTGCCTGTTGGGCTGCCTCCCTCAAGCGCAGTTCTAGTCGTCGGATTTCCTCCCCTAACTAATGGGATTTTGGGGTTAAAAAAAGATTGTCTTCACTATTTTATGTAATCCACCATTCACCTCCTTTGTTTTGCCTTTTAGGCCATCACGCTCATCCTCCAGCTTCTGCAGCATTCGCTGCAACTTCTCATTTTCATCATGCAGTCGTCGGTCAGAGGATAATCCTCCAGTTTGATCCTGCAGCCGTTGAACCTGCTCGCCTTTGTACTCCAAAACGGCCAGAGTGAGTTCCAAGGTTTTCCTCAGGGACTTCTTGGGCAGCTCCTCAATGGATTCGGCCAGTTCGAGAAGTGTTTCGTAAAGTTCCTGCTTCTGGCGCGCCGAAAAGTCGCGGAACTTGCGCAGGGATACGGTCTCTGGAATATCCATGCTCATCCTGGTGGCTCATGGCCTCGCTCCTCGGCGGTTACTGACGTTCTGAGTGAAAATATTCCCCGATTCTCTACAATAACTCTCCCGTTTCGGGTTTTTCAATTTCCGAGCGGTTGCCATGACAGTTGGGTCACAACAAAACCGAAACGCGCTCAAGGGTTGCCAGTCCGGAAACGAGGGTGCCGGTTCTTTTCCAAGTGACCCGGCTTTGTTTTTGCTGGCATTCTGTTTTGCTACCTGCTTCGGATGCGTACAAAGTTTCCTGACAGGATAATTGCCTTCTGGGTGGCTCCACCGAGGCGCGCTTGGGAGTACCCTGGGCCCCACCACAAACAAAAATGGCAATCGGTAACCAGGAAAGTGTTAATTGGCAAAGTGTCAAAGGCCAAGTTCTGAAATTGAAAACCCATTTCGGTTTAGTAGCTTTTTCTTCCTTCTCTTCCTCTTTATATTAACTGTTCATACACGGAAAGAAAATATTATATGATATGCTAGCAATGAAGAATATGTAAGAGTAAGCTAATGTATTAATCAACATAAATACATATTTGATTGGGGAAAAGGAAAATGAAATATTCAAACTTGTGATTATTTACGATTCGGTTAAGCTATGTTAAACCGTTATCTTTGAGAATGACATTTATGGTTCTGCTTTTCCTGTGTACTCCATCTCCTGAAATTGAAATTTTCCAACTCCTCCTCCAAACTCATCGAGTTGCCATCAACATTACGTTTGTCTACATGTGTAAGAATAATTGAAACTAATGGCAAACGACTTTGGTTGGCCTCCCATTTGTGGATTCGCCCTCTGCTAGTGACAGCCTGGCAGAAAATTGAAATGATACTTCAAATAGCCAATTATCTGGGAAGCTTTTAGGCCATTTAATAACCACCCGAATCGGGTGAGATTGATGAACTCGCACACGAACTGCAGTCGAAGCAAATGCTTTACCCAATACCTATTGTTACCTTAATTGAAACGATTTTTGAGCGATTTAACCGTAACCATAACTATGTGTATTAGGTCCTCCAGATTAAAAACCTTTAAGATATATAAATCTACAAATAAATTCAAAAATTACGAATTTAGTTTTATTAAGTTAAACTTTCTGTTATTAATAGAATTTATCATACACACGTAATTAAAATATTTATTAAAGTTTTAAGCGCATTGTAGATCCTTGTGACTCTTCGCGTCCAATTGGAGTAGCATAAGTTCATAGGTGACCAAGGTGGCCAGCATCTATAGGAAATGGTTAAAAATAACCATAATCTTAATGAAAAAATACCTACTCCAAATAGACTCTTTCTTGTCAAATAGAACAGACGATAGCCAGACAATCCAATAAACTCGCTCGTCAGCTGGTTTGCGAATCTCTGGACTTCCTGAGTCCAGTGGCCACTAGGGACCAGATACAAGGATCTTAGGGGCAGAAGCGAAGCGTCATGTATCCTGGAGGCGGTCATAAAAACAAGACTAGTCCTGGCCAGCAGGAAGAGCAGAGAATACCAGAAGTACACGTAGTTAATGGGATGCCGTAGCTTGCTGAATAGATTAATATAATAAATTATATAGAATGGTATCAGTGTAGCCCACTCACGTGAAAATAGCAAGTGCCTGATTGCAGATCACATATACATTATTTGCACAGGACACGAAGACTATATTCGACATGCTGGCATCGACCAAACTGGTCAGTTCACACAGGCGAATGTGATCCCGACGGATTTCGTACCACAGAGCATCGGGAACATGCTAAATGAGAAAGTTGATTAATACAAAATGAGGGAAAATATATTTCCAATGTTTACGCGACCCTCCAATGCAACAACACGGTCGGCAAATTGTTGAAACCTTTGAGCCAATCCTATACTGGTGATTACTATAAAGATGTCCGTGAAATTCCACAAAAAAGTAAATGCTCCATTTAACCACTAGAAAAAGTGTGAAGCTTTATGAAAAGACTTAATAACGAACGATGCCACAAAAATATCAGTTCTTAAATCACTGTAAAATTCCAATTTATAAATGAAATTTTTTGAAGTTATTTGAAATCTGTGTGAGTTTCTGTGGCATTTCGATATTTGGATTACTGCTCACAAATCCATAGCATATAGAGAATAGGTTGTGGGGCATTAGGAACGTTATGTCAGAGAACTCCTTTTCCAAGTAAAATCCAAAGGTAATCTGAGACTGATTTGTGTGGCACTGCCAAATGTGCATGCTATAACTGCAATATCCAGAGGCGTAATACATCATGTGATCTCCTAAATAATATAATTTGCTAATAATAATAAGAGGAATATTAGGAAAAACTCACCTACTGCCAGGAATCCCACGATCAGTACTATCATGTTTACCTTTGACCTAAGACTACGTTTGCAACGTTTATAGGGAGGGAATAGCATCAAGATATCCAAGGAACTCCAAGGTAGCATTATGTGCGACCAGGAACGGGCAAACCCAACGAAATTTAACCAGTTGACGATGCCCACAACAAGGAAAACCAATCCAACTATTGAGTTTGAAATTAAGTTAAGATCTTATTTTACCACAACAACTCACCCATATTCTTGGCATTGAGTCCTGCTTTAAAGAGGATATTTGCACCTATTAAAGTCTTGATGCTACCGAGTAAAAGAAAGAGGAAAGTAACTGCCAGACTAACGCTTCTTACTTTAAACTTGACATCCTGGGGATCGCGACTCAGGAAATTGGATAAGGGCATAATGCCAAAGAACTGGGCCACACAAAGATCTAAAGGAAAAATATGTAAACCCCATATAACCATATTTTTGATGGCAATGAAGAATTCCTAGTTCGCTTACACGGCCTAATGGCTCTGTAGAAGGTGTCCAACTGTTCGAACTCGAATCCTCCTTGGGCACATCGCCATCTCATGGCCAGTACAGCCCTTTGCTTTTGGCGTCGCGCCTTCAGGTGCTTCAGGATGCTATCCGAAGGGTTCGACATGCTTTTCAAGTCTAACCTCCACTAATCGCATTTTACAAGTAGCGTAATTGTTGTTTACATCCCGAAGCCAGCTTAGTTAAAAACCCGTAATTAGTGACACTTTAGTGCAGGCAAATCCATTGTGGGGCTTTCGCGGCCCAACTCCGCCCATAAAAGCTTGAGACTTACTTAAATTCCATGTCAGTGCAAAATAGAACAGCGTCATGAGAGGACCGAATGTAACATTTAAAAACCAAACTGTTTTTCCATACTTAGCAGTTTTAATAAGTTATATTTAATTTAATTGTTTTTATTGTTTAAGCCGTTAAAAATCGATTAGAATATCAATTATCGATATACAATTTATGAAATAAATCTGGCAACTCAACGACGATGTAAGCAAATTAGTAAACAAATAAAGGTTCATGAACATATGGATCCAGAGTTTCTTGATCTAACGAAATTATTTCCTCGTTGGGCAGATATAGAAAATGTGGTCCAGAATGAAGTCGAGGCACGCTATATACTCAAAAGAGCCACCGAATTCATGGAAAATTTCCGTTTTAGAGAAGATTCCAGTGAAGAGGATATTGGCTACCTTATAAGTGCTTTGGTGGACAGATACTGGGAACGAATACACACGGGTCACTTTAGCAATGTGCCTTTGGTTACAAGGAAGATATATTCTATAGGTTGTTACTTTAAGGTAGGAGTTACTTGTCCATAAATACCCTTACTAAATGTGAATGTTTTAGATATACTTCTTACTCCTGGAGAGCACAAACCCTGGTCAGAAAGAGCTGTGTAGTGGGATTTTGGATGAGGCTCAGCTATTGGGCTGCATGGAAAATTGGAGTGAGCTGAAGGAGGCCTTAGTAGATTACTTGGATAAGGACAGACCAGAAGATCCCGAAACCTTACCCATTTTAGAGCCCTTGCCCCGAATATCCTGTACTTGCAATATACTTCAACTGGAAGCTCCCAGTCTGGAAGAGTTTCAAACAAAGTGCTTTCAGGCAGAACAGCCATCACTCCTTCTGAACACCATTCAGCATTGGCCAGCTCTGGATAAGTGGTTGGATCTCAATTACCTTCTCCAAGTGGCAGGAAATCGCACTGTGCCCATAGAAATAGGTTCAAATTATGCCAGCGATGAGTGGTCACAGCAGCTGGTGAAAATCCGCGATTTTCTACGCAGGCAATTCGGAAAACAAGACAATAATTCAAGCCATGATATTGAATACCTCGCCCAGCACGAACTCTTTTCCCAGATCCCAGCTCTTAAAAGAGATATTTCAGTTCCTGACTACTGTTCTATAAGCAAAGATGATCCCCCGGGAGTTGTGGACATTAAAGCCTGGTTGGGACCAGCTGGAACCATTTCACCCATGCACTACGATCCCAAGCATAACTTACTGTGCCAAGTTTTCGGCTACAAAAAAATAATATTAGCTGCTCCTGAAGACACCAAGTACCTTTATCCCCACCATAACGAGTTCCTTGCTAATACATCCCAAATAGACGCTGCACATTTGGATCTGGAGACCTATCCTTTGTTGGGAAAGGTAAAATTTTACGAGTTGCTGCTTCAACCTGGCGACTGTCTATACATGCCACCCAAATGGTGGCACTATGTGAGATCTGAGTCCCCTAGCTTTTCAGTAAGTTTTTGGTGGGAGTAATAACATTTTTTAAATAGTAATTATAGTTTTAACTTTGATTATCACTTTTCTTCTTTTAGTACTTGAAAATAAATGTTTAGCAAAGTCTTACTTTCAAGTTTGTATTTCTTATCAACACCCTTCAACAAGTTCCAACTTAAAATACCTACTTAGGAAAGCCTAGGTAATGTTATTTGATAATTATTAGAATATTATTAGTTTATTCTACGCAATAATAGAATAACAAGGGTAATGTGTAACAGCTGTTCAAAATGTTTTCTAGCTCCGAACGATCATTGACCGACAGCTGGACAAACAGGTTCCCATCTGACGTCATTGCAATAAACTAATAAGAAATGATGTGGGCTATCTGCCGAAATATGAATCATCGTATCGACTGGAGTATGATTGTTCTTTTAATAGCCACGACGCTTTTTGTGTGTGTTTCTGTGGCAAACAAATCTTAACACATATGAATTAAATACAACAAATTTCAGGCAAAACGAACGCAAAGAGGGACCATTATCAATAATTCCCATTCGTTATCAAATGGTATAGTGGTGTGAATGAGGATTATCATTAAGATGTGTGTGCTTCTTATCGATTTGAAATCATTTATAATCTTTTTAAATGTGCCTGCTTTCGCTGCCCCACCGCCAAGTATAAGTCTTATCGTTATTTAAATGTTGGACTCGGTTCCAGAGCTTAATCATCCTTGTTTCCGGCTCCGCCGATGGTGATCTTCTTCTGCAGCTTGCTGTACTCCTCGGTGAGTCGGTCGTACTCGCGGTTTAGGCTCTCCGCCTGGGATTTAACCGCCTCCTTGTCCTTCTTCTCGCGGTTCAGATCTCCGGTGAGCTCCTGGACGCGATCGCGCAGCTTGTTGAGCTGCAAAAACGATTTCGGTTTGAGTTTCAATTAAGTTTTTATTCGATTCGGTTCGGTTCGGGATTTTGGGAATGGTTATGAGGTGGGGGCTCTAGGTGGGATACTTAGGACACTCGGGCGGTGAGTCCTTGGACACGTCTCCGCAGTCTTGACAGCTGTTTAAAGAGTTAACAAAAGGTTTTAACTTTTGAGTAATGGCTGTGGTTTTTGAAGGCCCAACTTTTGCGTTTGGGTGTGGTTTCAGAACGTTCAGCTGCGGTCAAAATTTAAGCGTAATCCTATAACAAGCTGCAGTCTCTACGCTGCTTTCTGTTTAGGTGTAACTTATGATCAAGGAGTTAAGAATGTTAATCATATTTACATAAAATAGTTGAAGTTCTGCGATTTTGTAAGTTCTATATTTCTAAATGCCATTTGTATATAAACATTTGTTCACACACATATACTTCAATGAAAAATGTTTTGGAGCAAATTAAATTTGTTTGAATATCGTATTGGTAATGGATATTTTGTTCGCTTGCATTTATGATATTTATTTGATAAACGTTTCTTTTGACCACACCTTCTATATGCATTGCCATATCTTTACAGCTGGTAGTAGCCAGTTTAACTCCAAAGTCTTATATGTTAGCTCTCTAGACATGCCATTTCTGGTGATCGGATGCAGGGGGTTAACAGATGGACTTACCTCGATAAGAGTGGTATCCTCGCCGGCTTCCTTGGCCTTTTCGGTCTTCTTGTCTTCCAACAAAGAGCGTGCGGCAGCTGTGGCACTTTGGGCCTGCTTCATGGAGGCCTCGCTTTGGGCCAAAAGATTGGCCTGAGCGGAGATCAAAGACACCAAACGCCGGATGACCAAGACAAGGAAAATGGCAAATCCAGAGATGTAGAAGTTTCTCTGGGCACGGAATAGCTTCATGCTGTGCTGCATTTCCACGTTCAGGTGGACATCCCCACTATGTTCGTAATTCGAATACTTTCTCATTTCGCGAATGGCCTCCAGAAGGAACAGGACCAAGAGACCCATGATCAGGAAGAAATACAAGTGCGCCTGTTGGCCCAGCATGGACAGGAACTTGGACTTGAAGAGCCGGTTCCACCGGTAAGGACTTGCTACTGGCAGAACCAACAACAGGACAAGTGCGATTTCTGCATAGAGAAATCCAGCGATCAAAGTCCACTGCAAACTCATTTTTAATGTTTAATTAATTCCCGTTTTCGAAATTTCTATTTTCACTTTTTTTCGTCTGCTTTCTGAAAGGAGAAATGTGTCCAAATTAGCTAGTAATTCTACGGATTCCGGACGATCTTGTGGCTATTTATAAACTACACCCGGAATACGTGCTGCTTACTTTAAATAGCAATAATTAAATCGCTGCCGTGATGAAATATGCGAATATTTTATGTAGTCACTGCGGCGGCCACGTCAACTCTGTTTTTTTGTGTACAAACGGGGCTGCCATCCCGCGCTAAATAATTTACTGCACTGGAAAATAGCTAAATCTTCTAACTCATTTATTTGAAATACAGTTTACCCTACATTTTTGGAGAAACCATGCCTACAATACATGCTTATATATGCATCTTAATACAAATATTTGTTAGTAATAACTGTCATGAAAAAATGTAAACAGTATAGTGTTAAATATATTTAAAAGTATAAAACATCAAATTTTTACTCGGTTAAAAAGTTTTCCTAATTTTAAATCAAGCTGAATCTTAATTACAATTTAATTAAGTTTAAATAAATTTACTAATGTGATAAAAATATAAATAAAAAAACGAATTTTTTTTATTTTCATTCGCGGTGGCAGCCATGTGTTCGTTGTAAACAAACTAACAGATGGGTTGCCAGGTTTCCAACGAAATGTGCTTTTCAACAACTTTTCAACTTTGCGCCATCGATCAAATTTTCTCCTCCAATCAGTTGCTAAATTCGAATCCCCGGAAACGTAATCGTAATCCCTAAGATGTCCTACCAAACCTGGCTGAACTATCTGCAATCGGCAGAGAAGAACTCGATGATTAGCGGTCGTGTTCGCAAGGTGCTCTATAAATTTCCAGACGGAAGGCAAATGGCCGAGGAATACAACATGGATACGGGAATTGTACAACGAAGGGCCTGGAAGTCGAAGAGCAATAAAATAATGGGCGAATCGGAATGGGAAATCGAACTGGGCGAGGAGCCCCGTCAACTAAACTGGGCTGGCAATAAATCCCAAGGATCTGGCGATGATGCGGACACCTTAGCTGGTGGTGACTTCACTTTGCGCGAAAGTAACACAGCTCCCCTTTTAACCAAACGGATCACCAAGAAGAACATCGAGTGGCGCATCCGTAATATGCCTTATTCTCTGGATGTTTATAATGTTGCCGCTGATCCAGAAAAGCGGGCCATAGTTGTCCGCACCTCGAACAAGAAATACTACAAAGTCATCCAGACTCCTGATCTGGATCGCTGTGGGGTCAAGCCTTCGCAGGAGAGTCTTTCCGTGCACCACCAATTCAACACTCTTATAATAACCTACCAAAAGCCCGCAATTCTTTGTGAAATGGAGGCGCAGGTCTTGCTTTTACTGAAAAATGTCGAGACCGAAACGGACATGGATGATCTGCTTAAGGGTCTGATGGCCAAATAAATGTCTTAGATTGTAGATTGTATGTTGCTTTGTGTGTATGGTTGGCTTGTTTATTGCACTTCTAAACTTTTTTAACATATGCTTATACTAAATTAGACATATTTCATTTAACCTAAGCCCTTTTTAGAAAGGGTGCTTTAATTTGGGATCTTAGGGTACTGTATTACAAAGAGATCTTCCAAACTGAACGAAGTGTGATATAGTGTGTGGGCCTTTAAATCTTTATCCTATTTCTGGAAACTTTCGGCCATGCCGGCATAACTGGCTAACGAAGGAGCCGAGGAGCTGGTGAACAAACTATAATCGAAGGAGGGCAACTCCAATGGTGCCAAGGAGGGCAAGTCTAGATCTCCGCTACCAGTCAGCCGGTAATCATATGTATCTCGTACGGGTTCATCCTTTACAGGATCGCTCTTGTTCAGCGTCTCCATTTGAGGCTCCGAGTTGGTGTTGGTGGCCTTCGCCACCAAGGTTGAAGTAAACTTGGCATCGAATTCCTGGACTGTTTTGTCGATGGCCTTGGCCACGGATTGCGCCGAGCCTGCTGCTCCACTTGCTCCGTTTTCCGGCCGGAGAGGCAACATTGGACTGGTTTCTTTCAAAGGAGCAAAGTCTTTTAGCTTATTTAATCCATGCTGGGTCTTTCTCATCTCAATTTGGCGCAGTTTCCGCTGAAAATCTAACGTTAATGTGTCCAAAACTTCCTTGGATTTGGGCAAAGCCACCCGCTTATGGGCATCCTGCATGTAAATTAATGAGGTTTCCAAAGCTTTAATGGCTTCCTCGTAGCGATGATTCCGCATAAAACGTTCAGATCTTCGCTCATGGAAATGAGCCTTCAATAATAACAAATTCTTATTTTTATAACTTGGCTAGAATATCTTTTTTTCGAGTTCTTACCAAATTTAATGGTGCGCAGTCCATTGTTATTAAGATTTCCTCGTCCTATTTGTCGAGTCAATCTTTGTATCAAATCAAATATTATTAAATTTCAAACAAACTGTACTATTATTAAATTTTAAATAAACAAAACGTTTATTCTTTTACAAGAACGCAATTTCCCAAAATTTCTTTTTTGTTTACATATGTTTTCTGCCTGATATGTGGCAGCTCTGGTACACATATTATCGATAAGCCAAATAAATCGCCCTGAAATCCTAAAACAATCAAATTCAAAAAATTATAAATGTAATTGCATATAAACAATTTAAAAGTTTGTATATTAAGACAAAAATGTTTTATTTTAAATAAAACAAAATTTATTTAGTCACAGAATTATTTTCGCACAGAAAATACTCATTTCATCTTTTAAGTTTAATTTTTTTTCCAAAGCGCAGTTTTTACAAAACCAGATAAAATATATTTAAATAGTCAACAAATTGCTTTTCAAAGTGGTCTTCCTGTAGCCTGTTTACCCTCAGTAAGAGCAACGGAAGCATGGACAAAAACAGGCACATTGATACCCTGCAAACCACAAAAATGAAATTTTGAAGTTGAACATCTGTAATTTGTAAATAATTCTAGCTTAAAACGTACCTGCATTTTAGCTGATCTAACAAAAGCCTTATTCGAAGTCACGGTAAAAATTTTTCGGGCCAACCCAAAACTAAAGATTTTCAGACTTCGCTCGTTCACATTGGCAGTGAATCGTATGTGTGAAAATTCCTCAGGTATATTTTCAACATCTGGAAAAACTGTAACCCTTTTCATCAGTTCCTTCGCTCGTTTTCTTTCGCCCTCGCCACCCACAATATCTAAAATACTTTGGAAGGCATCGTAGGCTAGTTGGCAGCAGACCAAAGTTTTCCCTTCAAGGATTTTTTCCAATAGAGGCTTCAAAGGTGAGGCTCTTTCCCTTTCTGCTTGTTCGGTGAGCAAGGGTTCCTTGTAGACCCAATTGGCCGATCCATTAGTCAGGGCACTTACGTAGGCCAATAAAGTGGTCACATCCAGATTCAATTCATTTGAGGCTGTGGCGTATTGGTCAAAATCACTATCTGGACAGTCCAAGGAAGCTGTTTGCACGCCCATTTCCAAAAGTTCTTCATGAAGGGAATCCTCAATTTTGTTGGAGAAGTAAAACACTATCTGAAGAGGGAATCGAAAGCTTTGGACATAGAATTTCTGGGCTATTGTACAAAACTACCTTAGGCCTCTGGAACATGCAGAAACTCAGTTCACTGGCCTCCAGATAGTCCTCCGCCTGATCCAAAACACTCCTAGCTCCGATGCTCACACATCCCCTTGCCGCATCCTCGACGGATTTCGAATTTCTGGCTATCACCTTCACCCACTTTAGACCGTTATTGGCCACTATATCAACCCTCAGTGGATTATCCCTGTATTCCAGACGGAATACGGCATTGATATCAACAACTCCTTGTTGCAAACGCAGAGTTTAAATGAGAAAATCATAGTACACAAAGTTACTACTAGTTATATGGTGCTCCCTTACGGACTTTGTGGAAATCACCTAAAAAAAACACCTGTTGTAAGGTTGTTGCTCTGAGAATTATACAAAAATCAAACCTTATTAAGAAACTTTAATTCCTGCTGAATTTTTCGCTGCACTTTGCTTACTCCCGGAAGGTCCTCAAAGTCTTTAAGAGATTTTTTTAGTTCTTCACCCAATATCACTTTCTTGTTGGCTTCTTTGTACAGCTTTTCCTGATCCTCTGACTCCTCCATTTCAATTTCTATAATATTTACAAAAATCACGAAATAAATGTTTTCATCTGTCAGCTGTTACAGACAGCAAACATGGCAGAGGATATCAAAATTTTACAACACTGATAACGGGTATTAGACAATTACGGTAGTTGGTCACTTTAATTAGTTAATCGATAGATATATTTTATTGTAAATGGGCTACTCATTTAAGGGATTTTATTTGAGTATTATAATAGTATAAGCAATTCAGCAATCTTTGTTGTGGTTTTTGAATGCGGTAATTATGATGATGTTGAAATACTTTGGTTTCATTATACCACATAACAATTTGAACGTGTGACAGTTTACCGGTAAACCGAATACCCAATATACATTCGACACCATCAGCATTTTTAAAAAATCGACTATCGATAAATCCATCCAGCCATGTTTACCCACCCCTATTTCCACCTTAATTTTTCTTTTACTTTTTGTCGGCGAAGGAGGCGGTTGTGTAAAATGGAGTTGTCTAATTAATATACAAAGTTTATATCCAAAGATATTGCTGGTAAAATGTGCTAAATAACCCATTTATCCGGCAAAAGGTAAGCAAATACACTCGCTTCTACCAGCATTTTATATTACTTTAGGGTTTTTGCACGAAGTATCTCCAGAAATCAGAAGTGTCTGTGCTTTGGTCGCATTTGAAGCGTGCTAAATTAACAATAAAATGCTGCTTACTAGCATCGTTAGGCGACACGACTTCCCATACTGTGGCCATGGTTTTCAAAGTAGTACAAAAGATAATACCGAAATTTCGATATTTAAGTGACTTTTGACGGAGACTGTACATAACCTCAACTGTACTTTTCTCTTGCAGTTCTGGACAAAAGTGAAAAGTGTAGTGCTGCATCATGTATCTGTACAATCTGACCCTGCAAAAGGGCACGGGGGTGACCCACGCGGTGCATGGAAACTTTTCTGGCGGCAAACAGCAGGAGGTCCTATTATCACGTGGTAAATCGCTGGAGTTACTCCGTCCGGACCCAAATACGGGAAAGGTCCACACCCTTCTCTCTACGGAGATCTTCGGGTGCATTCGCGCTTTGATGGCATTCCGATTGACGGGTGGAACTAAAGGTAAGATTTATCCTTTAATATTTCATGAGTGTTGGCAGAAACTTGGATCAAAAACCCACGCGGAGACCACGTGTTTTTTTTTTACACATGATTTTTTTTATTTTTTTTTTTTGTTTTAACAATCCTGAATTGCTTAACAAATTGTTTTTAACGACTGCAAACCGCACAAATCCCTATTGAGGCAACATTTTACAGTTGACCCCAGTAAGACCTTCTGAACGCGTCTAAGTGCGAGAAAGACCGAAAGACTTGACGTCGCATTTGCCATAAACCAACTCAACGGAGTGGCGAATTGAAACTTCGAGTTACATTCAAAAAATATATATATTTTTAAATATTTTAAAATCTTAAATGTTTTTCTAAAACGCAAATTCATTTTCGTGTTAATTTCCAGATTACATAGTAGCTGGTTCCGATTCGGGTCGCATTGTAATTCTTGAGTATATTGCTTCAAAAAATGCTCTCGAAAAAGTACATCAGGAGACCTTTGGAAAGTCGGGATGTCGGCGAATTGTGCCTGGTCAATATTTCGCCATCGATCCCAAGGGAAGAGCTGTGATGATTGGCGCCGTGGAGAAGCAAAAGTTGGCCTACATCATGAATCGGGACACGCAGGCTCGTCTGACGATTTCTTCGCCTTTGGAGGCTCACAAATCGAATACCCTGACATACCATATGGTAGGCGTGGATGTGGGCTTTGATAATCCTATGTTTGCCTGCCTGGAGATCGACTACGAGGAGGCCGACATGGATCCATCAGGTAGGTTAATACATTGTTGTTTACGAACCGAAGATGGCGCTTTAATTCACAGGTTTAGTGGGTTATCCACCACGAACACTGACTGTACTTAGTGCTAGATAAATTGTGATCACTGAACCATTGGTGTTGCTGTAATTACCTAGCCACACTTCACTGATTTGTGACCCACACTTTGAACCTAAAATAATTGGTTGAGATTATGATTATTTTAGAGTATTTTTAAACCTATATCTAACAAATACTCCATCTGTGTATTTCAGGCGACGCAGCCCAGCGTACTCAGCAGACGCTAACCTTCTACGAGTTGGATCTTGGCCTGAACCACGTGGTTCGCAAATACTCGGAACCCTTGGAAGAGCACGCCAACTTTTTGGTCTCAGTTCCTGGAGGTAACGATGGCCCTTCGGGAGTGCTGATCTGTTCGGAGAACTATCTGACCTACAAGAATCTCGGCGATCAGCATGATATCCGTTGTCCAATTCCGCGAAGGAGAAACGATCTTGATGATCCTGAAAGGGGCATGATCTTTATCTGCTCCGCCACACATCGCACCAAGAGCATGTACTTCTTTTTGCTGCAAACAGAGCAGGGAGACATCTTTAAGATCACTCTGGAGACGGACGATGATGTGGTATCTGAGATCAAGCTGAAGTATTTCGATACAGTGCCTCCGGCAACGGCCATGTGTGTGCTGAAGACAGGCTTCCTGTTCGTGGCCAGCGAGTTTGGCAACCAGTAAGTAACATAATTTGTTTTTTCCTGATTGATACTAATTATGGATTTTCTTTAACTTCTAGCTATCTCTACCAAATTGCTCACCTGGGTGATGATGATGACGAGCCAGAGTTCAGCTCAGCCATGCCTTTGGAGGAGGGTGAAACCTTTTTCTTTGCACCACGAGCCCTAAAGAACCTGGTTTTGGTAGACGAACTGCCGTCATTCGCACCAATTATCACCTCTCAGGTGGCTGATCTTGCCAACGAGGATACACCTCAATTGTACGTCCTTTGTGGCCGAGGTCCTCGTTCCACACTGAGAGTCCTTCGACATGGCTTGGAGGTTTCCGAGATGGCCGTTTCTGAGCTGCCTGGTAATCCCAATGCTGTTTGGACAGTGAAAAAACGAGCTGATGGTGAGTGTCTCTACTCGTATAAATCATGATTGTAAGCTAAGATTAGACTAAGATTGAAACATGGCTAATAACTCAACTGGTGCATTGATACAGATCGAGATATAGATTACACCTAGCTTTATACACGATTCAAAACAAGTCCCACAAGTTATCAACCACCAGTTCTCTCTTATTTCAGGCGCTTAAACACAGACGTCAATGTGTGAACTATCGAAAAAGACAAGCGAATAAAGAGAACTTTCTCTCGTTTGTGTAAATTTAAATTGTCTTTTGTGAAGCGATAGGTAAGGCAACATTTACTGCAGCTCATAAGTGAAACAGATACTACTACTACTACTACCACTCGTATTTGAAAAAAGAACATACAAACCTATATTTAAGTCAGTCGGACATTGAACATGATGCGATATTTATCAACCGTGTTTCAGCTGAATTTTCCATTGATTACAACTTGATAACCTGATTATTCAATGTCCCCTATAATAGGCAAATCTTACTGCTGTTCAAACATTCCTTTATACTCACGTCCAAAGTACTATTTTGTTCCCCTACTTTTAGACGAGTTTGATGCCTACATCATCGTATCCTTCGTGAATGCCACTCTGGTTTTGAGTATTGGCGAAACCGTTGAAGAAGTCACGGACAGTGGCTTCCTGGGCACCACACCCACACTTTGTTGCGCGGCCCTTGGAGACGATGCCTTGGTTCAGGTTTACCCCGACGGTATTCGCCACATCCGATCCGACAAGCGTGTGAATGAGTGGAAGGCTCCGGGCAAGAAATCAATTACGAAGTGTGCCGTGAATCAGCGCCAGGTGGTCATCACCTTGTCCGGCAGGGAATTGGTCTACTTTGAAATGGATCCGGTAAGCATTCAGATCATAGTTTCCTTCAAAAGTTACTAAACTTAGCTCTGATGACAAAAACACGAAAAGAACAATCATGTTGAGACACTATGTGTCCTGCAGTGCTGAGCTTTATCGTGAAATAAAAGCGTTTTTATCTGTTTTAAACAACAAACTAATCAGGATGTGTATCTTTACAGACTGGCGAGCTGAACGAGTACACAGAACGCTCGGAAATGCCTGCTGAGATTATGTGCATGGCCTTGGGTACTGTTCCAGAGGGTGAGCAGAGATCTTGGTTTTTGGCCGTTGGTCTCGCAGACAATACCGTGCGTATCTTGTCTCTGGATCCCAACAACTGTCTCACTCCCTGCTCAATGCAAGCGTTACCCTCGCCAGCCGAGTCCCTTTGCTTGGTAGAAATGGGACATACAGAGAGTACGACACAAGGAGCTGCGGACGATGATGCGCCTGCTCAGCGAAGTGGAAGCAATAAGGGAACCATATACTTAAACATTGGCTTGAGCAATGGTGTCCTGCTGAGAACTGTACTTGATCCTGTGTCCGGAGATCTAGCTGATACGAGAACTAGGTATCTGGGTTCCCGACCTGTAAAACTCTTCCGGATCAAGATGCAGGGAGCCGAAGCTGTACTGGCCATGTCCAGTCGATCCTGGTTATCGTACTACCATCAAAATCGATTCCACTTAACACCGCTTTCTTATGAAACGCTCGAGTATGCTTCTGGCTTCTCCAGCGAACAGTGTAGCGAAGGTATAGTGGCAATATCCACCAACACCTTGAGGATCTTGGCACTGGAAAAACTGGGAGCGGTCTTCAATCAAGTGGCATTCCCCTTGCAGTACACTCCTCGTACCTTTGTAATCCACCCGGACACAGGCCGCATGTTGATTGCGGAAACAGATCACAATGCTTACACAGAGGACACAAAGAGTGCTCGAAAGGAGCAAATGGCTGAGGAGATGCGCAGTGCAGCGGGCGATGAGGAAAGGGAATTGGCCCACGAAATGGCCAATGCTTTTATCAACGAAGTTTTGCCCGAGGATGTTTTCTCATCTCCCAAAGCAGGATTGGGTCTTTGGGCCTCGCAAATCCGGTGCTTGGATGCCATGCATGGCCAGACGATGTTTAGTATTCCGCTGACCCAAAACGAGGCTATCATGTCGATGGCCATGGTGAAGTTCTCCATAGCAGCTGACGGTCGCTATTACCTAGCTGTGGGAATAGCTAAGGATCTTCAGCTAAATCCAAGGATCTCGCAAGGCGGCTGCATAGATATCTACAAAATAGACCCAACCTGCTCCAGTTTGGAGTTTATGCACCGCACAGAAATCGATGAGATTCCCGGAGCTCTTTGTGGCTTCCAAGGTCGTCTGCTGGCTGGTTGTGGGCGAATGTTGAGAATCTATGATTTTGGCAAGAAGAAAATGCTGCGAAAGTGCGAGAACAAACACATTCCTTACCAGATTGTCAACATCCAAGCCATGGGTCACCGAGTCTACGTGTCGGACGTTCAGGAATCTGTATTTTTCATACGTTACCGCCGAGCGGAGAATCAGTTGATTATATTCGCTGATGATACTCATCCTCGATGGGTGACTGCCACCACTCTGCTGGATTACGACACCATAGCCATTGCCGATAAGTTTGGTAACTTGAGCATTCAGCGACTGCCTCACTCGGTGACCGACGATGTGGACGAAGATCCCACGGGCACAAAGTCACTCTGGGATCGCGGCTTGTTGTCTGGAGCCTCGCAGAAGTCGGAGAATATTTGCTCCTTCCATGTGGGCGAGATCATCATGTCGCTGCAGAAGGCTACTCTTATTCCTGGGGGATCGGAAGCCCTTATCTACGCTACGCTAAGTGGTACTGTAGGAGCGTTTGTTCCATTCACCAGTCGCGAGGATTACGACTTCTTCCAGCACTTGGAGATGCACATGCGCAATGAGAATCCCCCACTTTGTGGACGCGATCATCTCAGCTACCGAAGCTCATATTATCCAGTAAAAAATGTTTTAGATGGCGATCTTTGCGAACAGTATCTGTCCATTGAGGCAGCCAAGCAGAAGAGCATCGCAGGAGATATGTTCCGAACTCCGAACCAGATCTGCAAGAAGCTGGAGGACATACGTACACGATATGCCTTCTAAGGTGAGTTGGAATCCTAGATTAGATAGTAGTCTGCAGGGATTTTGTGATGACATAGCTATTTTACCTTGGGACACCTATGAAATGCCTTGATTAGCGTAAACTTCAACAACTGATAAAGCAATATAAGCAAGCCGTTTTGTAACTGCTTAAAAAGATAACTAATGTAAAATTCTTTACATTTTTCAGCTTTCTGCATCAGACGAAGACGAAAAATGTCAAAGGGAACTTAATTTTGGATTAGGTAAGTTGGGTTTTATGCCACAAAATTTGGTTCAATGATGATTTACGTTTTTACCTTGGGACACCTATGAGAGACCTTGATTAGTGTAAAGTTATGTTTTTCTGATAAACAACCAAAAGCCTAACTATGTTTATAGTAAAGGAATATTATTAATGCATTTTTTCAAATTATTTTCCAGTTCCAAATGACAAATCCATCAAATGCTGCATCCAAAACGTTTGAAGGTGAGAAAAAGACCGATTAAACCCTTTTGTTCTTAGAAATCCAATGATGTTTTTACATATGTTAGACTAATGAAATGATTTGATTGTAAATTAGTAACTGAGCTTGATAAATGCATTTTAAGCTTGATTCGAGTTTATATACTTCTTATTAAATTAAAGTTTTTTATATTGCAGATCTTCTTTCGTTGCGGTATGTGGCGTTTATTTTAAAATTAAACATGCATTAGGTAAGTTTAAAAAGATGAAACATGCTTTATGTCGATACTAATTAATTTCTCTTACAGTTTGTACGTCTACATTAATTTCACATTGAATCACCGATCAACCACTAATCGACTGCCGCCTATTTATATTAGTATAAATCACTGCAAATTCGACTGTTTGCACAACATAAATATATAACCATCTTTAGTCTAAGCAATTTTCAAATAAAAAGTAACCAAAAACGAACTATAAGGAATGCGAGGAGATTTGTGGTCGGGTTTTGCGGAGACGAGACTTTGCATAATTTCAGTTGATGTTCGCATGCCTTGTTGCGGCCTTATTATGGCCATTACCATGTGTCTTGGTTATTATATCTCGGCCTTGTTTGCACTGCTCTTTATTTTCCCGGCACGGAGAGTCCCGTTATGGGATGGGAGATATTTGCTAAACGCCTCGTTTTCCATCCGCCCGGTATGTACGCAAAATCGTTGTAATTTGTTATGTTTGCGGCATAAGCACAGTAGTTATGCAAATTGTCTGTCGGCCCGGTGGTCGACTCACTTGCCAAACGGGCCAAGTGCAGCAGTGCTGCTCGCCTGGCTCCTTGTTAGCTGGATCTTTTGATTTTATATCTGAAAGGTGGTTTTCTTTAGCTGTGATAGCTCGATCTGAAGTGTAGTCTTGTTTTATGCTTTATGCTTTTTATTTAGCATTAAAATGGTCCAAAATTGAAATAGAAAACAAATTTTGTAAGTTAGTAACAAATTTAACAAGAGGATTCTTTAAGAATTTTCAAAACTCCCTCATCTCTGATGCCCGATGTCTGGGACTTGAAGAATCCACAGAAGCAGCCAGGCAGCCTCCTTTCCGATCTCTAGAAAGAGCTGTGCCATCTGGTTAAACGATTTATTAACTTCATTTCTAGATCATTAGATCGCATAACACGGACATTCATCACTTGGCACTGGTTTTCTCAGCTTTACTCTTTTTTCCTCGGATGTTTTTGCCAGACTGGCACGCAAGTGCAATCTGCGATCTCTAGGCAGCATCTACGCATGCAATTCGCGCCGCCTTTCCTGTTCGGTTCCCCTGGCCACAGCGATCTGTGCCTTCGATAAGGACAATCAACGCTTGGCGCAAACACTTGGCACTCCCAGACAAAAAAAAAAAAAAAGAAACCAGCCCTGCAACACCTGCCACGCCCCCTTCTGCGGCGCCTTGCAGCAGTTGCCATTTCTGGGATTTCTGTGCGAGTTGGACTGGGGCGAGATGAGCAGATGCCCAGCTGGAGATAAGACAATGGCGTCCACAGTCTGCGATGCTGCAGAGTGTTGTCAAGTTGGCTTTTAGCTCGTCGAAATAGGGATTAAAATTAAGATAGCTATATACATATATCGACCATAAGTAAAGCCAATATATGGCTTAAACTGGCGCAAATCGAAGTCTTTCTTTTTAAGAAGTAAATATTAAGATTTTATATGTTATGTCTTTTATGTTAGAAATATTTATCTTGGCTTCAGTGGCTATATAGCATCACTGATCCTTTGTTGAGGGGCGTGAATTTGGACCGCGCGCATTTGGCGATATCAGAGCATGCTGATCGGAATCTCCTGGCCAAGATCGCGGAATCGAAGTCATATTCGCAGAGTTCCCGGGTCCGCAGATGCTTATCATCTCAAATGCCTTGCGTGATAAAATTTCGCACGAAATGCTCCACGATCTGATCTGGGGACTTTTTGAGGCAATGAGGCAATGGGTGTTAACGCAGCAACTTTTCAGCTGTCCGCCGCTTGCGTGTAAGAATTTTCTGCGAAATTCTGCCGGACACGCCGAGATTTTAATCAGATGTCTGGACCGGAGTCTAGATGGTGGACACTGGCTAGAACTGGAGAGGAGCCAGCTAGACCGACACTTTCCCTGTGCGCGAGTGCGAGTGCGAGAGCGAATTAAATAGCCATTCGCCAGTCACGTCTTTTCACAGTTAGCAACTTTATTAAAACTAACGGGCATGGCAAATAATTAAAACGCAGCGGAAAATTGCAAATTGCCTGCCGTGTAATAAATAGAATCATCAGAGCGGCTGGCGTATCCGAAGGGGAGTTCCCGAGTTCCCGGGACCCGGCCTCATCAGCATCGCCAACAACATCATCATCAACATCAGCGAAAGGCAGCAGCGGCAGCTTTATTTTAATTCACTTAGCATCGCTGACATCGGTTTTGGATACACGTAGAGAAATAATGCATTTTAGACAATAGTTACAAGCATTCCCGAAGAGCTAGAGCAATTATCAGCGAAGTAATGAGTGGATTATACAATAATTAGTGTTTCTTATTTCCGAAATAATATCAAAGTTTTCCTCAGTGCCTGTCTTCAGCCGAGCTTTTCTTTTCTTCAGCCTCAACGCAGACACATGAGCATGAGCTGAGGCTTTAAAGACTGAATCTGAGGCTAAGACTCCGACTTGGCCGGCTGCTGGCAGCTCGACAAACCAATTATAAAGCGTAGAGTTTGATGTGCACGTGTTGGGAGAGATTGGGATTGGGATTGGGAGAGGCTGTGATCGCGATCTCTAACCCGCGGCGGGTATATCCAATATACGAGTATATCCAAATCGGCCAGAGGCCAATTAATGTGCGATAAGAGCTGAGCAGAGATCTGGGATCCACGGAGGAAAGTAGGTGAAAGATGGTGAATGTGGAGATAAAAGGTAAGTGGATCATAAGAAGTAATTTCTATAGCGGAGTTATGGAGCTTACAGAAATGACTATGCTTAAAATAAATTACTATCTCAGCTTATTAGAAGAAGTTGTATTAAGTAGTATTAGTAATCTTAACATTATAGGCTAGTAATGAAAATATAAAACTATCCTTCCCTTTGTAGTGTCGCTGACTAGTCGGTTATGACCAGCTGACCGCTTGCAACATATAAACTGCTGACTGTCAAAGGGGGAAATGAGGTGGTTTCGCTGAAGGGGCAGAGTGACACTCACATGCGGCAGAGCCCCAAGACCACGAGTCCACAACCGTTGATTGCTGTCAGCAATCTTTCGCCATGATTCAAACCCGTCGTCGCTGCTTTTTGCGGCTTTTTGTGGTTCTTGGGGCCTGACCCCATTCAATGTCATTAACTCGGCCCAAGGTCTGTTTGTTTTTGAGCTAGCCCCAAAGACTCTGGCAATTTCGCATAATTGGCTGAAAATTATGAAATGCTCCGAGGGACCAATCGCAGTCTCCTCGTTGCGGTGGCATCTTCATTTTATTCCCTGCCTCCTGAACTCCAATGAACTCTCTCCTGCGGCCTGCACTTGTAGAAAATCTTGTTAAATCAGGAAGATAACCCCGATCCCTTGTCAACAACCAAAACACATCTTCATGGGTTCGGACTGCTCCACTTCCTTTCACCGACGATCTCAACCGTAAACGTTTCAGTCACTTAGTCAACAATCTGTTGCATCTAATTGTCTTTGCAACAAATTACTCAATTCCAGTTGGATGCTGAAAGGAGATTGCGACCGGGAATCAGAATAAGATTCTCAGATTCAGATCCAGATCCAGATGCAGGTGGACAACGAGAGGATGAACGAGATCCAAACGACGACCGGCTGGTCAACAGGTTTGACATAATTTTCACTTTAGTTTGTTTTTAAAAGCACAAATTTGCACGCAGCTGAAGGATCCCCAAGACGAGCCGAAGATCTGAGGAGCTGAAGAGCTGAAGAGCTGAAGAGATCTCTACGAGGACGATAATGATAATAATGATGACGCTGCTGGAGTAACTCAATCGCAAGATCCCACATGGGCATCCCGATCCCATCTCCTCGATGAGTCAAACCGGCACTTTAGTGGGCGTGGCGCACTTCCGCAAGTAATTTGCTGCGGTTTCGGTGGGGATCGGGGAGGAGGTCTTATAATGGAACATTTTAATGCTGAAACCTATGCTTAAAATCAAACTCATAAAAAAGAAATAAGTGCGGCACCGTGGAGGTAAGATAAATATTTGCTCTCGAAAATCCAGGTAATTGTTTATAATCGAAAATTTCCCTTTAAACCAGCTGGTCTTTATAAAGAATAATATTATGAAGTCAAAGATCATTACTAATAAGATGTTTTATGAGATAAAACCCTAAAGAATGTTTATTATATTACTTACTAAAAATGATTACATTATTTAAGACTAAAGTTTAGTTCGCTTTTCAGAGGTTTCCATGCCATCGTACTGCGATGATGGGGACAATAATGGTGCTGTCGAGAGTGCAGTTGCCACAGTCGCAAGATAAATACAGAAAGCAACTTGATCAGTCGCACACGGAGATCATCAACACAGAACACGAAACATGGCCCAGATGGACCCGATGGAGAGAATGGAGAGGATGGAACGGATGGAACCGATGGATATGGATGGTTAATGGAGGAGGGTAAAAACTTGCCAACGGAGACACGTCAACAATGAGGCATAAAAACGGGAGCACAGTCGCATGCAACGTAATTGAAAGCAATTTGTGGTCCTGAATCTGAATCTGTATCTTTGGATCCCGGGCCCCAGCGTCGGCATAAACATTACATTGATTGCCATTGCCCCACACTCACTGCACACTTCACCCATTCCATCCACAGCCACATCCACATCCACATCCATCGGCCATCCAGCCATCCAGCCATCCGCTCATTCATTCATTCATTCACTTGCCCGGCCAGTCACTCACTCACTCGCTCACTCCATCAGTCACACGTGTTGTTTGTCAATCTGGAGCATGAGGATCGCACACTTTTGCACTGAGAAAAACTATAGGAGGTCACCAGAAGAGACCTCTTAGGATTCAGTGATCAAAAAGCAAAGTCCTAACTTCTAGCTGATCTAACTTTATAGATGTATGACCATAACAATCCCTTTAGTAAGAGTTATGAAATCACCAAATACTTTTTCTGTTTTGTACAGTAGTTTTCTTGCAGTGTATGGCTGCATAAAATCCCCAGAAGCCGAACGGCTGTTCGAGTGGAGCGGAAGTTGCTTAGTTCCGGCGAATGGCAGCCCCATTCGCAGTTCATCTTCATTTTCCTGCCACCTGAAATGTAAACTCATTGCTCATGCTCGGTTCCAGAACCGAAGATCTTGTATCTGGGTCTAGATGGGGTTGTGGGGTTGTGCGGCTGTGGGGCGGCTGTTACGCAATTGTGGCAATGTCTTTGATTTGTATCTTTGACGTCGTGGCCGCTGCTACTTCCAAAAAGTAATTGCCAACAGCTG